ACTTCCAGTGTTGGAGCATTCACCACTTCTGGAGGCAGGTTGTTCCACGGGTTAATTGTTTTAACTGTCAGGAAGTTTCTCCTCTAGTTCTAGGTTGCTTCTCTCCTTGATTAGTTTCCACCCGTTGCTTCTTCTCCTGTCTTGAGGTGCTTTGGAGAAGAGCTTGACCCCCTCTTCTTTGTGGCAGCCCCTGAGATACTGGAATGCTGCTATCATGTCCCCCCTCGTCCTTCTCTTCATTAAACTAGACATACCCAATTCCAGCAACCGTTCCATATATGTTTTAGCCTCCAGTCCCCTATCTATGAAACGAGCTTATGCAGTGCCCGTCTCTGGCCTTGGCAGTCAGGATTGACCTTGGTCAGAAGACAAATGGCACATTGTAGTGGTATGCCCCACCCCACACACACACAGCTCCCAGTCCTACTGCCAAAGCCAGGATGTGATGGGAATGGGTAGGCTTTCCTTGTGGTGTTGGCCAGTGCTTTGTTTCCCCCCCCCCGATGCCTGGGTTGGCTCCCTGAGTACTAGGCAGGGACTGGGTGCCGCATCTTGTGCTGTAGAGTAAAGGCGTAGCTCCAGCTGGGTGAACGTTATGACTCCCCTATCGTTCCCTCTGGCTACTGGCATCTAGGGTAATAGGGACTCCTTCCATGGGGACATCCATGAGTGCTGGGAAGCCAGTGATGGGAAGGTCTCCCTCAATTCCTTTCCAGAGGCCCAGTCCTTGCTGTTCATTCTGGCCAGGGAGGGAGCCAGGTCCTATTGCTTGGTTGCAGGGCCATAGGGAGGGCTCCTGGGAAGACCGAGAGGACAGATGGATTTGCTGCAGATCGCCCCAGCTGTTTCCTGGAGGGGTTGCTCTGTGTCTTTATTTACTTCCCCCCCCCCTAGCATTTTCCTCCTGCCGAGGCTTTTCTCTGCAGGGGAGACAGGAGAGTGGCAGGCTGAGGACATCCCTTCCTTCCCCTCTGCCTTTGGGGGGGCTTTTCTGGACCTCCCGAAAGGAGGGGCCTCCACACCCTTAGAGGAGCCCCCCCAAAGAAGCCAGTGCAAGCAGATGGGGATTTTCTGGAGCAAGTGCAGCCCTGAGGCTCTGATGGAAATCCTCTGGACAGGCTGTGGCCTTCCATGGCCTTTAAGCCTCCCCTTCCTGCTGTCTTTGCGGGTGAAAACGTTTTCATTTATTTTTCTAGCAGGCGTCATTTCCGTCCCTTGAGCAGCAAGTGGAGCAATCAGCATAGAGAAGGGTTCTGTCCCTCCTGCCCTTCCCTTCCTGCATCCCCCCTCCCAAACTAGCCAAGATGCCCGGCTGCCTGGCGTTGGGTCGGGCGCCAGGATGTGGAGAGGCGGGCCTGTTTATTTTAAGGCTGCTGCTCACCAGGAACTGCCAGCCAATCAGTGCCTGCCTTGGCAGCCAGTAGATGGGCACCCAGCCAAGCAAGCCAATCAATGCCTGTTGCCAGGCAATAAATGATGCCTTGCCTACTCTTGAGGGATGCCTTCCTGTTCCCCCCCCCCTCCTAGCCTGGGGGAAATGGTGGCTTTCCTTCCTTCCATGCCTGGGTTTCTGAAGGCAAACGCCCAAAGGAGCCATCCTGCGTGGGCTCCCTTGCCCTCTGTGCCAGCTCAGGAGGCAGCAAGAGGCCAGATCCCTTCCCCGAAGGGTCCAGACTGCACAGGACAGGAATTTTCTTTGTTCCTCCTCTGCAGCTCCTCATCCTGCTGGCATCCAACCGGAAGAAAATCCCTCCCAGCCCTGGCGACTCCCTTGGCACCTGGGCTGGCCTTGCCCTGCTGCCCGTGAAGCTGAATGTGGCTCCCTTCTGCTCATGCAGTCAATCAAGTCCACTCTTGCCGGACCAACCCTGTTCCACAGCTGCACAGATGTTTTGGCGGGAGGGGTGATGGTGAGAGGGGAAGCCTCTGTGGCTGAGTGACTGTGAGTACAAAGCAGAGGCCGTGTGCAAACAACTTTCCATGGAACATAGGTAGCTGTAACACAATCTAAGTCTTGGCATAATTGAGTTTAATTGGACAGCCATTTGTCTGAAATGGTATAGGGTTTCCTGTCTGAGCAGGGGTTGGGCTAGATGACCTCCAAGGTCCCTTCCAACTTTTATTATTATTGATCATCGCACAGTCAGCCAGATGTTCAGACTGGATTTGGCATTTTTGTCTACCTATTGAGTCCTTACCCAGGACCTGGGATAGGCAGATGTGGATGTTTGATGGTATTACAGATATCGTCGCAGGATGGAAGCAGTTCCTAATAAGGCCGCCTTTTGCAATTGACTAATAGCGAATTTGTCAATGCCAATGGTGTTCAAGTGGTGCTCCAGTTGTTTTGGGATTGCACCCAAGGAGCCTATGACTATTGGTACTACCCTTGCTTGCTTTTGCCACAGTCTTCTATTTCTATTTGTAGGTCTTTGTATTTTGTTATCTTCTCCAGTTCTTTCTCTTCTATTCTGCTATCTCCAGGCACTGCCACGTCCACTATCCAGACTTTTTTGTCTTTCTTATCGCCAATTGTTAAGTCTGGGGTGTTATGTTGCAGGTGCTTGTCTGTTTGAATTCTGAAGTCCCAGAGCACTTTAATTTTATCATTTTCTATGACTTTCTCTATTTTATGATCCCACCAGTTCTTGCTTACAGGCAAATGATATTTCTTGCTGATCTTCCAATGCACCATTGTTGCTAGTCATGCCGCTGCTTGTTGTCAGTCTGTGCAATTCCTATTCTTATTGTTGTTGTTGTTATTATTATTATTAGGCATTTTATTGAATATATCTGCTTTGCAAGGAAGTTGGCCTTTTAATTCTTTTTTGTACGGATGGCGTCAGCGAGACACTGCCCTGCAGAATGAAATATTCCTCCTCTAGTTTTGGGATGTGGCCAATTGCGATGGCCGATTTCAGCCCACGTATTCTTGTGCACAGAGATTAGCCAGTTTGCCAACTGTCACATGGAGCAGGACATTGCTGAATGACTGTGAGCCAATAGCAGAATTGGGGAGTCATTCACCAGGGCTGAGAGGCAGGGTTGATCCTGGAGTGTCTTAGGCCAGTTCCTGGTTCCTTTCTCTCCTTGCTGGGGTGCCTCCATTGAGGCTGATAGTTCTGTCGTTCATCTTCGGTCCTAATATGAGTTGCTCGGTGTTGCCACTTTGCTACTGCAGGGGCCTAGAGGCTGACTGGTTAATTCATTCCATATGGGAGGGAATTAGTACGTAAATTTGAATTCGCTGGCTCTCTCTCTCTCTGCAGGGCGGCCTGGGGCTGTCCTGAGTCATGGCATGTGTAGATCAGCTGCAATTACTGTGTGAATCTTAGTTCAGGTTGATTCAGCTGATTGGGAAAATCAGATGAATCCAATGCTTCCTTTTAGAAACATCTCTTTAGATCAATTTGATTTCCCAGGCTAATTCAGAAAAACTTCAAAATAGATGTGGAGGAATCCAATTCAATGATTCTGTTTGGCTTTCCATTTTGATTCAGAGACTTGATCTAGTTTGCTCCAAACTGAAGCTCTGCCCAATCCTGTCCGGGTCACTTTTTCAGGGTGGGGGCTTCTCTGCAAGGAAGGACAGCCCCATCCCAAAGGCCCTAGAAAGAAAATGAGCTGGGAACTGTGGATGCCACCGCTTAGTGGAAAAGGCTTAGCACTTCAGACCTACCTGCCAAAGAATTTTGACCGGCAGAGTCCAGGAGGGGAGCCTTCTCTGCTGTGGCCACCACCCTCTGGAGGTGAGGGCCGCCCACACCTTCCTGGCCTTCTGGAAGAGCCTTCAGACCTGGCTCTGCCACCTGGCCTGGGGCTCCCAACAGAGAGCTATGTTCAGGGTGGCTAATAGGTAGGCAACCTTGGCTCTTTTATGACTTGTGGACTTCAACTCTCAGAATTCCTGAGCCAGCATGGCTGGTTCAGGAATTCTGGGTATTGAAGTCCACAAGTCATAAAAGAGCTAAGGTTGCCTACCCCCGGATTAGGAGATCCCCACTCCCACTTTGCCCATCCTCTTGTATTTAGATTGTTATATAATTTTAATGGTTTTGTATTATCTTTTAAATCTTTTTATCATATTGTAAGCTGCCCAGAGTCGCTATAACAGTGAAATAGTTATATTAAATAATAATAAATAAATATGGGGTTTTTGAAGCCCTTCATGGCTTCTGCTTTCGCAGGTCAGCAGCATTTTTATCTTTTTAAAGAGCTGTGATATCAGTGGCTCTGGGCGGCTTAGATGTTGGTGCTATCCAATGTGTCCCAGGACTCCCACTGACCTCCCTTATCCCCCCCCCATCAAGTTCGCCAAGCTCCGCCCTCTTCTCAAGTCCACCTTCCACTTGCAACCCAAAAGAGGCCCGAGATCGGTGTGTTTCTGCTTGCTACTCATCCTCGCAAAGAAGCAGCCAGTCTTAATTTCACATCCTGAAGGCTCTTGTTCAAGTTGTCCAGCTTTCACCACCCAATGGAAAGACCTGGCCTTGGGCAGCCCAGTCTTTCTGTGACCTGCTCTGAGCCTCCCTTTTTTTCCTCCAGGGCAACATCTCCATCTGTTCTGGAGCAAATAGAAAAGGAAGGACCCACATCCTTCGCTTCTTTGCCATCAGCTGTCAGTTCACAGGCTGATCTTTCTGCATTTAATATTCACCTGGATTTTTCGCTTCCCAGGTTTGCTTTCACAGCAATGGAAGGCCCATCGCCCTTAAGAGGTTTGGACAGTCGAACCCCCAAGTAATTGCAGCCGCCACCTTTCCCTTGCCTGCCCTCTTCACCTTTCCCCTGTCCCCCTCTCCAGTTGGGACAGGGGGACAGCAGACTCCTCTTCTTCCCCATGCTGGAAGCTCTTACATAGCTCCATCACTTGCATCCTCGCTGGAGCCAAGGAGAACTTCCCCTTCAATGCTCACCTGGCTCCCATCTGGGCCTAAATCTCCATCCTCCCCCCCCCCCCGTGCAAAAGGAGGGCCAGGCCGTTGTCCCGCCCAGAGGAGCCCTCTTGAGGCTGATCCCTGAGCCGAGGGCCTGGGCCGGGGAGCTCCGCTGGGCTTGCGGGCAGCGGGGACGTTTCGGGAGCGCGGACGCAGCTTCCACCGCCGGCTCTCCCGGCCAGGCCGGCGGCCATCAGTCGCCTCATCCTCAGCCGCAGCGTCTGGGCCGCCTCGCTCCATCTTTGCGCTTCCCGGCCGCTCGGCGGATGCTGCCCGGGCCCGGGGCCGATCGCTCTGCTTCCGAGGCTGCGCGGCGGCGGCGGCTGCGGCGGCTGGGCGAGCACTGTGGGCCGGCCCGCGACGTCACGGCGGCGGCGGCGGCAGCGGCGGCGGAGCGGGGTTGCGCAGCCCCGCCGCATTGCCAGGGATGCGAGGCTGAGCCGCCAGGCGGAGGCGGCGGCGGAGGAAGAGCCGGTGGCGCCCGCATCGGAGGGAGCGCCGCGGACCGAGGTGAGCGCCAGGAGGGGTGGGCCGCGTCCGGCGGGTCCGCAGACCGTCCGCAGCGGCAGGGCGGCCGCCGGTCGGGGCTGGGCTGCGGCCGGAGGGGCTGCGCCGAGGCGGCGGGGCGGGAGGGGAGCCGGGGGTGGCGGCTGATCGGTGCGGCCGTCTTTGTGCGCGGCTGCTCAGGGCGTGTCTGAGGCCGCCATTGCGGAGCCGGGCTCGGGGGCGGCCGTCGCCGCCTTCGGGCTCGCTCTGCGCCGCGGTGGAAGGGCGCGCCCGTCCTCCTCCCACCTCCCGGCCGGGAGACGGAGGAAGATGCTGCGTCGGACGGAGGGAAGGAGCGGCGAGGCTTCGGCCAAGAGGGGCGGTGTGGTTCCCCTTTGCCTCGCCGCCCCCGGCCCCGCTCTGCTCCGTTGCCTGCGGAGGGAAGCGCCGGCTCCTTCCCCGGCTACCCGACTCGCTTGGCAGCGCCTTCGGCCAAGCAGGGGTGGGGGAGAGGCTGGTGGCCCCTGGTCGTCCAAGAGCCTCTTCAGTGTGGACCTTAACCGGGACCAGGACTGAGCAGCCCCAGAAGCCAAGAGGAAGGACGGCCATCAGGTGGCGAGGCTCGGTTTCCGATGCCTGCAGGGAGCGCGGGCTGGACTAGATAGCCTCGGGGATCCCGCCAGCTGTCAGCCTCCAGGCCGGAAAGGCCTCTACTCAGCGGCCGGAGCATACCTGAGGGGTGGGCACCGTTTTCTCAGGCTGAGCTGGAAGGGCCCCTCCTGTGCTGTCCTGGTTGCGGCTTCTGTGCTGTACCTAATTTCAGCCCGGGTTCACACCATCTCAGAGCTTTCCCACGGTTTTGATTCCCTATTGTGGGAATTACCCCGTTAAGCCAATTACCGTTAGGGCTGGTTAATTTGGTTAGAGGTGACTGTCCTGCTTTCTCGAAGTTTGCCTCTAGCAACAGCGCTTAGTTAAACTTGTCTGAGGAAGAAGCTGAGTTGGGCTTGGTTAGGACTTGGATGGGGGACCACCAGGTGACATTTGTAGGTGGTGCTGGGAAGTTCGGGAAGTCCGAAACCTGCTGAAAGAAGTTCCCCTTTTAAACCCGTTTTAGTGTTCAGCATGTTGTGTGAGCTGAGGTGGGCTAGCAAAGATCCATTGGTGAGCCCTGAAGGGGGCAAGGTGACCAGCTGTGGCCCTGCTCTCTAATTATGGGGTCCCATACCCCCCCCCCAGTTCTTCCCTGGAGACTCTTCCAGGCTTTGGAAGCTGCACACAGAGGGATTCTGGTCCAGAGCCCTCTCCCAAACTCTGCTAGACCCTTCCATTTGCTAGAGGGTATCTGCAGGCTTCTCTCTCTCTACCCTGCTGCCCCCTGGCATGTGCCAGAGGGATGGGAGGATGGACTGGGATGGGTCAGGAGCTGAATATCTGCTCTCCATCATCAGCTCCCTGTTCTTACACATCCTGGTTAAGGCTACAATGGAGGGATTACTTGTGCCAAAATGGCAGCCCTGGTGGTGCCATGGCTGGGGGTGATGGGCACAGCCCTCCAGTTCCCCTGAAGCTCAGCCCAGTTGGCCCTGACTGGAGGCTGCTCTCTGGGTTCAGAGGGGCTGTTTCCCGGCCTGCCCCAGGAGTGTGAGGCTGTGCCCTGGTCTATCTCACCCGCCAGGGAAGGCAGGTGGGTGGTTCGTGCCAGGGAGGCCGGCTTGTGTGGTACCATCCTTGCATGGATTAGGAAAGTTTCAGAGAGCAAGGGAGCTGCAGCTGGCCAGTTGGCCATCCTCCCTGCAGAGGCCTGAGCCAAGCTGGACTTTCACTGCTGGGGGGGTTCAAAAAAGCCAGGGGAGAGTCAGCTGGGCACCGCAGCAACGCCACTGAGCTGTCTGAAAGCAAAAGCTTGGTCGGCAGTGGCAGGAGGGGCGAGAAGAGGCAAGGGGGGGCCCCCTCAACCGAGCCGGCCTTCCCTGGCTTCATTGGCATCTGAGGCGCGTCCAGCTTGCGGCCATTTCGCCTGAGTCCCACAAGGAGGGGCTGCTCCGGAGCTGACTTGTCCTGCAGAGGCTACCCTTCCCTGGCACTGTGGAGAGAGATGGGGGGGGACAATCTTTGTGTGGGGGGGCAGGAGGACAACGCAATCCGTGGTGCCATGATGTTGCTAGGTGGTTGGAGGCGGTCATCTTCAGCGGAGAGCCTGGTCTTGACAGCTCTCCAACAGAGGTTTGGAGAGGGGAGGCTTTGACTCTCCTTCCTTGCATGCCCCCCTCATACCCTCCTGCACTGGGGAGAAAGCAGGTCCCTCCTTGGGGAGCGAGCCCTGGTCGGCTGCATTGAAAGAAAGGCGGCTTTGTCGGGATTTGTTCTAGGAGGGAGCAGCCTTTGCAGGACGGATGTTCCCCATGGCTGTTCCCTCTGCCTCCCTCCCTCCCCAGGCTTTGTGTTCTGCACAGTGATAGAATCAGATGCAGGGAGGGTGTGAACATCCCCAGGGCTTCTTTCTGCTTGAAAGCCTCAAATGATGAGGCTTGATCGGAGCCCCACCACCTCCTTCCCTCCCTCCCTCCCTCTGCAGCCAGGCCTTTTCCAGCTTGGCGTGACTGCCTTCCCCTCCCAGTGCAGGGAGCAGGGCAGGCAGCCTGACCCTCCCCAGAGGCAGAAGATCCAGATGTGCTGAGCTTTCAAGAGAAAAGCCAGAGGGGAAAGAGAGGGAAAAACTGCCATGTTGAAAAGGGGGGGGGGCAGGCCAAGGAATCCTGGGCTGAAATGAGCAGCCAGGAGGAGGCTGGGCTGAACAGCAGCAGAAAGGAGGGCAAGAAGCAGGAGCCTTCTTGGAATATCTTGTCCCCCCCCCCGTGGGCTTTAGGGGCTTTCAGATGAGCTTCCCTGGGGGGGGGGGCTTGCTGCTGGATGATGAGCAGGGCCAGGCCTGGGGGCGGAAAGACCTCCCCCTTGGATGGGCATTCTGGAGCACCAGCATAAGCCAAGCTGTGGGGCTAGCACCAAGAGGGGTAGCCCCACAGCCACTCCCCCATCCCCATCCTGGCATCCTGCGGTCATTCCACCGAGAAAGCAGGATAGCAAAAGGAGAGGAGTCCAAGGACAATGGAAATGGGAGGTTGTGGACAGAGCAAAGGAAGCTATCCTATATTTTGCGATGGCCTGAGTTTTGGAACTCATTTCCATAAAATGGAGTGATGATACAGAATTATTAACAAAGGTCAGGGAGACTAAGAAAATCCCCAATCCCAGCTGGCGAATGCTTTGGCAGAGCCCGTCCAAGTGAGGGCCTGCAGCAGGCAAATCCCACTCAGCCAGGGGCAGCACGAAGAAGCAGCCTGCAGAGTTGGACTGGGGGGGGGGGCAGCGAATCGAAGGTCCATCAGCAGGATTTAAGAAGCAGCCAGTTGCCAACTCTCGTAACTGCTTGTTTGCCAAAGGAGCTCTTCCTGGGGTTGCACAGTTGCTGACTAGGTCCTCCTCTGCTCCCACTAGCAATGCTGGAGTGACACCATATGGTACCTGCCTTCTTTGGGCCCTCCCCGGGGTAAGGAGTCATGTCTGGTTGTCAGATCCCTGTCACAGGCAACCTCAAGTGGTGTGGCCTGGGGCCCAGGGATGCTTAGCCAGCTGCAGCGAAAGTCCCATCCAAGCAACAGTGGCTCAGGAGGAGCCAGGAGGGTCCCACTTGCTCCTGTCCTAAGAGGGCAGAGTGGGAGTCTGTCCTGGGTGACAGCTAGCCCCAGGCTCCTTCCTGAACAGAGAGCTCTGCCACGCACCAAGTTGGGTTTCTTGGCACCAACCACGGCATTTGGAAGGGCTCCCTCATCTTTATTGACACCTTTCCTCAAGGAAGCTCTGGAAGCAACAGAGAACGACAGCATGGTGAAGCCCCTCTAAATCGGGGAGTGTTGGTCTTTCCTTTTCTTGAGGGAAGGGAAGGGAAGAAGGAAGGAAGGAAGGAAGGAAGGAAGGAAGGAAGGAAGGAAGGAAGGAAGGAAGGAAGGAAGGAAGGAAGGAAGGAAGGGTAAGAAAGGGCCCAGCCCTCCTAGCCCCAGGGCAGCCATGGCTTTTCCATGGGGTTTCCTGGCCTTTTCCAGGCCAGAGACAGGAAGGCCCAGGGCTGTTTCCTCACCATCATTGAAAAGACCCTTATGTAGGTAGCCAGGAGTGGGACAGCTGCCATTGAAGATGGGTTTGACGGGGGTGACACAGGAGCCTGATCTGGAATTGACAGCTCCCTCCCTCTCTCTGGTCTCTTCTTTGGCACTTGTGGGACAGGGCCTGTGAGTCCCCCATTTGTGCCCCTTGAGGGGTGGAGCGTTCTTAAGCTCTGGCCATGACAGAACTGCCCCCTTGGTTGGCCTTTGGGCTGCCCCAAAGACAGGGCAGCCCAGCAGCTCCCTGGTGTTTTCCTGGTCTTTGGGCCAGTTTCTGAAATCCAACCCACCGGCTCCCTTCTGCAAAGGAAGTCCACTAAGGACACTGGGGTCAGGCCAGTCTGGGGCACCGGACCTGCAAGCTGGCCAGAGGCATTCTGGAAAGACATGGGAAGGGGTGGTCACCATATCTGCTCCCAGCCAGGATGGCAGGCGTAGCCGTCACTGAGTCTGCTCAGGACGGGGGGGGGGCTTTGTTGATTAGGGGCCATCAGGTTGTGGCCGAATCTTAGCAGCCGCACAGATTTTCTCCATGACGGTGTCTGGAAATCGCCCTGCTGCTCTTGCAGACTTTGTCTTTGCCAGACTGAAATCCAGGAGGGAGTCCGTCATTTGGGAATTGTAGCCCGACCCCTAGATGGTCCTCACCTTTTTCAAAAGTTTGAAATGCTTATCCTGCTGCTCCTGATTCACAGGTGGAAAAAAAATCAGGATTTGGATGGCCTCTTTTCTGACTCACAGATTGATTGAAGATACCAGCTGTTGTGGGATCCTTGCTCTCCAGTAGTTTCCTTGTAGACGTTTCATGGCCCAACTAGGTAACATCATCCAGGTTAGCAGGGAGGGGAGGCTGCTCTCTGTTTATATACTAATTGACTTGCCCTGTCAGCATTGGTGGGAGTATTTTCTTTTAGGTGAGAAGAACAAAAGGGTAATGAAACAACATTAAGTTCAGAAAGAAAACAGCCAAGCTCAGAGAGCACTGGAGCTCACTAAAGCTGCTGCTTTTTAATAAAATTGGGAGTTGGAAAAGGAGTTACCAGACTCCTCCTGATTTTTGCCATCATGGACTAACGTGTTCTCCTCCTCCATTGTTCATGTGCATTTTGTTTCTCAAAAACAGACTTTTAAAGGTGGTCTCTATTTTTGAAGGCAGGTGTTTCTGGCAATAAATTTGAGCTGAAGGGCCAAATTCGGGGGAATTATTTTTGTTCTGGCAAATGGTGGAGAGGTTTTAGGGCAGCCCAGTAGCAGCCCGTCTCTCTGGACCCTGCAATGGTAGGAACAGGAGGCGGAGATATGTGTGTGTGTGTGTGTGTGTGTGTGTGTTTGTGTGTATGTTTTGGTCTGGTGAGGAGCAGAGTTGGATTGTGGCAGGCGAAGAGTCCTGGTTTTAGGTGGAAGCAAGTGTGGCCCTCTTATCCCCGGCTGGCTTGATCTGCCTTGGTGTGCACGGTGTGTGCGTATGTTGTGATACCTCGGATTTCATTCTCTTTTCTTCCATTGAGCTCTCTCTTCCCTTTTCCCTCCCCCCTTAATGTTGCTCTGCTTCCTAAAGACTTTCCTCTTTCTGAGCTCAGCGCCCTCGGCCTGAAAGGCTTTCAGATGTGGCCCAGACGTGACCTAGCTTGTTCAGCTCCAAAAATGGACGGGAAGTGATCAGGGCAAATAGGGGCTTTCTCTGGACGGCCCTAGATGGGGCAGCCGATGGGGACTGAGAAGACACAGAAGGTGGTGGAGAGGAGATCCAGAGGCCCCTTGACTTCGGTCAGAGAAAATTTAGCAGCTGTTTTTTCTCCGCGAAAGCCCCAATAAGTGAGGGCAGGTAGCCTGGGGAAAGGATAAGTGTGTTTCTTCCCATTTATTTTAGCTTCTAACAAATCCCAAGATTTGGGATAGGACAAAAAAGCTCATAGCTTCAGCACGACAAAGTCTACCTGATCAGATCCAGAGGCAGCTACGGTCCAAAAAGGCAAGATGCAGGTGCTGTCAAGGCTCCGCCCGTTTTTTCATCAACATGCCCCCAAACCAGGGGGAATTTTGACTGCATCATCGTGGCCGCCATCTTGCCTTCTTGGACCATCCCTGCAGACCTTCCTAATCAGACACAAACCAGGTTAAATTGAAGCACGTTGCTTCTTTCAAAGCTCGTGCCAGGAAATCTGGCAGCTGCTATGGGAAGGCCTGGAAAAGCCTTCGGCCTTGTTTTCTTTATTTGTTATGTTTATTTATAAGTGACTCAACCTGACCCATCACAGAACCATCACAGACCCTCACTTGACACACCCACACCTGAAGCCCTTATAAACAGAAGAACACTGACATCCCCTAAACCAGGGGTAGGCAACCTTGGCTCTTTTATGACTCGTGGACTTCAACTCCCAGAATTCCTGAGCCACCATACTGAGGGGAAAGGGAGATGTTTCCAAGCTGAGCCATGCTGGCTCAGGAATTCTGGGAGTTGAAGTCCACGAGTCATAAAAGAGCCCAGGTTGCCCACCGTTGCCCTAAACTCTGCTGAAGATGTTACCTCACCTGGTAATGAAATGTTCAGAAACCAACCCACAAGGTCGGAGAATGAACCTTCACCCTTATTTATAAGTTTACATACCTCCAATGTCACCATCAAGTGACTTTGGGCACTTTCTGCTTGACCCTTGAGATCCACCCTGGGCGCAACACACAAAGAACATTGTTGTTGTAAAGGTTCTGTGCCATTTCAGAAGGGGTTTGCCCTTGCCTGCTTTCCAGGGCTGAGAGAGCGTGACTGGCCCAAGGTCACCCAGCTGGCTTTGGGCCTCAGGCCAGACAAGAACTCTCCTGGGTTCCTGCCTGGTGAATTCACCACCACACCACACTGCCTCCCTTGACAACTTCTGTACAATCCTGTCAGTACAACCCAGAGTTGTCCATTTGGCCCATGGGAATGTTGGGGGAGGGGGATGAAGTTCAAAATGACGGAAGCTGTGGGGACAGAGCAAGATGGGGTCTTTTTCCTGGATCTGGCCTTTGATCTTCACTCCAGCAATCCCTTTTAACTGGTCTTCTGAGAAGACCACAGATGGAGCAGGAAGCCAGAAACAAAGCCCTCTGCTTGACCCTCCTCCCCCAGGAAGTAGACCCCTTGGCTGCTGTGGATCGTTGGCCTCTCTGAGACTCTCTTGAAGGGTTTCAAGAGGGAAGTATCGGCTCTTCCAGTGGCAAAGAGTCCCACAAGTACATTTTATCTTCTCTGAGGGCTTCCACCTCCCTTCGCTTTAGCATTACTGTGTGTAACAGAAACACCCACATTGTGCTCTCTCCTGTGAGAATGCCAAGCGTGCAACCACATCAGATTGCACACCAATCTCTTCCTTGCTGGGCTATGATTGGTTTGCTGCCTAACCCAGGAGAGCATAGATGGACCTGCTGGTCCCAAAGACCACACCTGATCCTGAGCCAGGTCGTAAGCCAGAATCACCAGAAGAGGGTTTGAAACCCCCACCCCACCCCTGTGCGAAATGGAGGCACCAGGAAAGCTGGGGAGATGGGGGGAGCTGCCTGTGCTGTTTGGTGAGGCTCCTGTGTGCAAAGACGCACCTGCAGAACAATTGCCCTGTTGCCCCCCTGGTGGGAGATTCCTTTGTAAAGTCCTGGGAAGGGGCTGCTGAGGTGTTCTCTGAGATATGGCTGGGGGTGGGAGAGCTGCTGAAAGCTGACTTTGTCCTCGGTGACTCTGTTGTTTTTGTCTCTGCCAGGTCTTGGGCTGCCTTGAGGAGGTGTCTTCTGACAGTCCGCTCTGTCCCCCAAGGCCCTTCCATGGGTAGCTTCAATGCCGCAGGTACCCTGGCGAATGGGACCGAGGATGGATAGCCCCCCCAAACTGACAGGAGAAACGCTGATAGTTCACCATATTCCTCTGGTGCATTGCCAGGTCCCGGACCGGCAGTGTAGCAGCACCAGCCAGCGGACCAATCCTTTCTTTCCTTCTGACCTGGGGGTCGGGCGGACCAGTTCACTCCCTGAGAGGACCCTCCTGCAGGCAGACTCGCTGGTCTACAACAGTCTCCTCAGGGCATCAGTTGAGGCTCCAGAAGAGGGGCCAGTGAGTGGGCAGAGCCCTTCCCCCACGCTGGCTGCCCCCCCAGCCCCTCAGAGGCAGAACCCCTTCCTGCTGAGAGACGAGGCCTGGGATCTCTGTGAGGATGACCCAGGGCAGAAGCCCTTCCACCTGCATGTTGGCCGGTCCGCCTTCCGCCTGCATGAGCCAGCACTGCCTCCCTTCCATCTGCATGGCAGTAGCCCTGTGGTGAGGCCCTGGTGTGGCAGCCACCGGGTGGACGTGGTGGAAGGCCACGCTGACCTACCGGCCGACGAGGAGACACAGGACAAGGGCCACCTGGCAACAGAATGCATGGAGCTGGACGAGTACAGCTGCCACCGTGGGGACCCCTCCAGCCTCTCCCTGGAGCAGGAGTGGGCTAGCGAGTCAGATGACCTGATGAACAACCCGGAGGCCATCCGCAGCCGGACGTGCAGCTGCTCCAACTCTGAACTGCAGCGCTGCCGGTGCTACAGCCTCTCGAGCCAGTCGGAGCCCCTGGACCAGCAGATGGGCTACGTCAGCGACTCCTCCTGCAACAGCTCCGATGGTGTCCTGGTCAACTTCAGCACCCTCTACCAGAGGCGGAACGGTCACCCTCACACCAACCTGAACTCGGGTCCCTTGTCCTGTGACTCCTCTTCGGGCAGCCAGTCAGACATGGCCGCTTTTTATCTTGACCTGCACTCCTCATCGCAGGAGTCGAAGATGCCTGGAGAGCTGCAGGATCTGGAGGGGCCAGGGAAGGCCTGTGGGTGCCACCATCCCTCTTCTCCAGTCCTGGATGCCAACTGCAACTCCTATCCACCACTCTGCGATCCGTGCCCATCCGATGGCTCTGACCTGACCGCGTGCTTCCAAAGCCAGGCACGGCTTGTGGTGGCCACCCAGAACTACTACAAGCTGGTGACGTGCGACTTGTCCTCCCAATCTTCCCCCAGCCCTCCTGGCTCCTCCATCACCAGCTGCTCCGAGGAGCAGGCCAGGGGGAGCCCCCTCCAACCCACCGAGTATTACCTCTTCCAGAGACCCGGGGAGAGCGACACGGAGGAGTCCCGGGATGAGTCACAGGAGGAGTCAGAGAAGAACGCCATCGAAGGACAGGTCTACATCAACGTCTCCCCACCCAGCCTTGTTGGAGGCAGGCAGCGCTCACGGAGCTATGATCGCCACCTGGACCGCAGCCCCTCCGCCCGTCTGGGCTCCCTGGAGCGCATGCTGAGCTGTCCGGTCAAGCTGAGCGACAGCCCCTCCTTGGCCCTCCAGAGCTCCCCTCCCAAGCGCGTCACCTCCTTTGCAGAGCTGGCCAAGGGCCGGAAGAAGAATGGCTCCTCCCCACCCATTCGGACCAGCCGGGACTCATCCCTGGAGTTCTCGTCCATCCCCGAGAGCCAGAGGGACAGCTCTGTCTTTCTAGAGAGTCAGGAGCGGCACAGCCAGAGCCTCCCGCCCCTGCCGTTGGCACGCTCTGAAGGTGAAAATGCCAGAAAAGGCTCCAGGGAGGTGCCCACCTGTGGGCAGGAGGGGGGCGAACAGCTTTTTTTCTCCGCAGTGTCAGAGACGGGAGCCGTTGGCAGCAGCATTATTGGCCAGAAGGACATTCGAGCCCGAGCTGATGGTAAGCCCCCCCATCCCGGGTCCCCCTCCCCACTGCAGATGAATGCAACTGTGGCCTCTTTTTCACAGCTGGTTGAGGGAGAATGAGAGGGGTTTGGGTCAGGAGAAGCCCCTTTCCATTAATAAACTGTCCCCGAATCCATATTAGGATACCCCCATGTCCATATTAGGATACCCCCATGTCTATTGGCAGGGAAGAGCATGGAAGTTGCTGCAGGGATTGATGAGCAGATGTCCTGGCCAGGGCCCATCCTCAGCCACCAGGCGTTGCAGCGAGAGCCGCCAAGCCGGGCAGGTTGAGAAGGTTAGATGGATTTTAGATCAATGAAGGTGAACCATTTGGACTCGGAGTGTCCAAAATTGAGAAAATGCCTACCGTGACTCTGCTGGTGAGTCATCCCGCCCACTTTGGACGAAAAAGGCCTCTCTGGATGTTCTTCTCCTCTGGACCCTCTGAAGCCTTCCAAGAGGGCCCTGCTACCACAGGGCCTCGGGACCATCAAAAAGTTGCATAAAAACACTTGCACAATTGTCAGATGCCTCAGAGGCTGCACGAGAGCAGGACCTTCTTGTATGACCTCCAGAGGGTCCAGACTCCGGGCATGTCACCAAAAATGCCATGGTGTGTCACCTGTGATACACGTATCCTAGGTTCACCATCACTGTTCTAGATTCTGAGGAGGGTGGCTGTGCTTCCACAGCACTTTATTGTGGCTGGTTCAGTCAGACAGGAAAACTGCTTCCTACTTGCAATTGAGGGAATTGAGGCTCAATATCCCACTCCACCCGTCAGCCACCATCCCACCCTGGCTGAGGCCTCCTGAACTGCCCGATGCGCCTTCTTTGATGTCTTGAGACAAGTCTGAAGAAGATAGCCAGCGCTCGCTCGGTCTCTAAGCCCAGCCTGGCTGCAGCGCTTCTCCGGCGTTTACAATCCAGCTCCTGCTCGGCCATCAGCCCTTTATGTCTGCCTAGGACCTATCAGAGGCAGGATGGGAAGAGGGAAGTGTAGACAGCTGTTGTGAGCTTTGTGGGCAACACAGTGAGTCCCTGAAGCCACAGCTATGACCACTGGTTGTCCCAAGGACTGGCTGGGTAAAGAGGTGCTCTACAGCCCTGGGGAGGGACTGGAATCATCGTGTGGGCAGGAAGCCTCTGAAGCAGTGGTTCTCAACCTTTTTAATGCTGTGACCCCCAACCGGTTGTAAGTCGAGGACTAAACCGGTCGTAAGTCGAGGACTAAACTGGTTGTAAGTCGAGGACTACCCAACCGGTCGTAAGTCGAGGACTACCCAACCGGTCGTAAGTCAGGGACTTTCCCTGCCCGGGAGCGCCGCGCATGCGTGGTGCCGCCCCCCCTGCGCCAGCCGAGGCGTAGCTGGCAAGCGGCAGAGACGGAGCAGGCTGACCACCGGCTGGGCCACCAGCTGGCCCAGCCCAAGGGAGGTAAGGCACCTGCTGGAAAAGGGAAAAAAAATGGCGGACAGCCTTGCTTGGCGACCCCTGTGAAATGGTCGATCGACCCCAAATGGGGTCGCGACCCATAGGTTGAAAACCGCTGCTCTGAAGGTTTCTTGTCTGAGAACAGGATCAAAAATTAGAAAAAAGCATGAGTCTAAATTTTGAAAGACATGATGGGGCAGTTCAGAAAAATTGAATTTGGATGTAAAAACTGACATCCTGGACTGCAGAAGGAAAACTCAAGCCAGTTTTATTAAGTTGGAGAAGTAAACTAAAATGATGAAAGACAACAGGGCAAATGCAGAGATCTCCAGTTAAGAAACGCAACTCTAACACACAGCCTAGCCTGGGAACTAGGAAGAGGTGGGGGAAGGGCAGGGGATGGAAGGGGCTCGTAGACCAGTGGTTCTCAACCTTTTTAATGCCACGACCCCCAACTGGTCGTAAGTCGAGGACTACTCAACTGGTGCAGCACCCTTTGCAGAATGGGACTTTTGGCGGGCTCAGCAGGGCAGAAACAGCCTGGACAATTCCTATTGGCTTTTGAAAGCCAATAGAATTAGACTCTATTCAAGAGAGTCTATTCTATTGACTTTTTTTTTTTTTTATTGAACATTTTTATAAATTTTTACAAAAAAGACAAAAAGACGAAAAAACAGAAAAGAAATACAACAATTCAAAAACAAAAAATACAGAATACACAAAAAAACTAAACATAACATCCCCTTCCCCACCCCCCCCAAAACACCCCCCCTTCCCCCTCCCTGAGCTTCCCAGAGCAGAATATAGGCTTAATTAAAAAGGAATTAAAAAATATATATGTAAAAAGGAAAAAAAAATTTAAAACTAAGAAATATATATATATATATATATATATATATATATATATATATATATATATATATATATAAAAATAAAAATTTATAAAAAGGCAACATGATATTTTTTTATATCCAATTTAAATTGTATAAATTCTATCCATTTATCCCAAACAGCAAGAAATTTCTCTTGCGTTTGATCCTTTAAAAAAGCCGAAATCTTTGCCATTTCCGCCAGATAAGACACTTTGGAAAACCATTCCTGCAGTGTAGGCAAGGATTCCTTCTTCCAATATTGTCCTACTAACAGCCTTGCGGCTGTGATCAAATTTAACATCAATATAACCTCCTTTGTATCACAATCAATAGTTATACCCAACAAAAATAGCTGCGGAGTAAATTTTACCCTCCTTCTAAAAATTCTCTGGATATTCCACCATATCTTAATCCAAAATGCTTTTATCTCTTTACACGACCACCAAATATGATAATAAGTAGCATCCAAACAATCACATCTCCAACATTTGGGCTGTAGGTCAGGGTACATGAAAGACATTTTTTGTGGGTCAAGGTGCCATCTATAAAACATTTTGTAAAAATTCTCCCTTAAATTCTGTGCCTGCGTAAACTTGACATTTCTTACCCATATGGTTTCCCATATGTCCAATGGGACTGGTTCACCAAAGTTTTGGGCCCATTTAATCATACAATCTTTAATTAGTTCCGTTTCCGAATCCAGTTCGACTAGCACCCCATAAATTCTCTTAATATGGGCTTGTCTTTGATCCTTCACTTGCTTAATAAGATTTTCATCTTCTCTAAGAAAGCCCACCTTACAATCCACCTTCCATCTATCTGCTAGTTGCCTATATTGGAACCAAGAATAAATGAAATTTTCTTGTGCTAAATCCTCCCGTAGTTTTAATTGCCAATTTTGTCCATCCCATCTGAGTAATTGTCTATAAGACACCATATCCATTTTGACACCTCTTTTTATTCCCTCTATCGCATGCCAAGGTATAGCCCATAATGGTACTTTAAAATCATTTTTGTAGTACTTTCTCCAAACCCTAAGTAAGGAAATTCTTATAATATGAGATTTAAAAACCCAGTCCACTTTTTTGTTAAATATTAAATAGGCATGCCACCCATAGAGTAAATCCCATCCCTCTAGATGAAGTATCTCGAGATTTGTCAAGTTTACCCAGTCACTAATTATTGTTAAAACCGCAGCATCATAGTATAATTTCAAATTCGGTACCTTGAGTCCACCTCTCTCACGGAAATCTTGCATAATTTTAAACTTGACCCTTGGCTTTTTCCCTGCCCAAATAAATTTATTAACACCCTTCTGCCATTCACTTAAATTAATCTCATTCTTCAAAATCGGTAACATTTGGAACAGGAAAAGAAACTTAGGTAGAATATTCATTTTTATCACTGCAATTCTTCCCATGAGAGATAATTGCAACTTCTCACAATTCTTCAAGTCTTTCTGTACACTGACCCACAACCTATCATAATTGTTTTTAAATAGTTTTGCATTAGAGACAGATAACATCACCCCCAAATATTTTACCTTATTAACAATTTCAAAACCCGTCAAGTTAACCAAAGTCTGCTTCTCCTGAATAGTCATATTTTTAGGTAAGATTTTAGTCTTGTTAACATTAATCCTAAAACCCGAAACCAAACCATATTGATGAGTTAGCTGCAATAACTTTACTACAGAACTAATAGGTTGCGACAAAGTAACAACCAAGTCGTCTGCAAAGGCTCTTAACTTATATTCTTTTTTATTAACTTCTACTCCTTTAATTTCCTGCGAATCTCGAATTTTGATCAGCAATATTTATTCTATTGACTTTCAAAAGCCAATAGAATAAAAGGGAGTAGCACAGTTAAGGAAAAGGAGAAAAAAAATGGCGGACTGTGTTGTTTGGCAACCCCCGTGAAATGGTCGTTCGACCCCAAATGGGGTCTCGACCCACGGGTTGAGAACCGCTGTCGTAGACCAAGGCTTCTCTTGACAACCTACTTGACTTGTGGCAGTGGAAGGCACCTTGGCACCCTGTTTGCTGAGGACGCCTCCCCACGTCCTCCTGACGCAAGAGAGGGGGACAGATGGACAGTGGACAAGCCTCTCTAGGACCAGAGATGGAGGGGATGACCCTGCCCAGGCTTGAAAAACACCAAAAGGGGACTTTGAGGGACTACCCCCCCCAAGCCCTGAACTCTCCTTCTGAATCAAAACTCAGCAAAGGGGCTGGTTTGGGCACATGCTAAGCCAGTCTTAAACCTCTCCCCCCAGCCCTCCCCCCCTGCTTGGCCTGCTAGGTAAGGCAGTGGCCAGACCTTCAGCTGAGCTGGCTAAATGGGTTGCCTCAACTTGGCTATGATGGGGAATGATCAGCTAGGAGTCTCCCTACCCGGCAGGGTCTGGGGGAGAGGCCTTAGGGCAGGGGTAGGCAACCTTGGCTCTTTTAAGACTCGTGGACTCCAACTCCCAGAATTCCTGAGCCAGCCGTGCTGAAGGGAAAAGGAGAGGTTTCCATGCTGAGCCATGCTGGCTCAGGAATTCTGGGAGTTGAAGTCCACGAGTCATAAAAGAGCCAAGGTTGCCTACCCCTGCCTTAAGGAGTACATAACCTGCTGCTCTGAGGTGTGTGTGTTAGGGGCTGCCTTTTCTCCTGTGCCCCCACCCTCCAAGAATGCCAGCCCATCCATCAGGCTAAGCAGTGCAGAGAGCTGGGCTCAGCAGTGCAGGCCAGCTGTGCAACCTCTGCCCTCCTTCCCTTCTGCAGGTGGCGCAGCAGATGGCAAAGTGGTGCGCTACAGCAAGGACCAGCGCCCTACCACGTTACCCATCCAGCCCTTTGTCTTCCAGCACCATTTTCCCAAGACGTCGAAGAGCCGGGCCCTGCACAGCCATTTGGCCTCCAGCCTCTCCCAGCTCTACGGCCTCTCGGCCACCACCGCCACTCGCCCAGCCAGCCGACCCCTCTCCTCTGCTTCCCAGTCCTCCACCTCCACCGAGGGGCCTGTGGGGCAAGGCCAGCGTTCTGCTGATGGGGCGGCTTCTCTGGGCGACGGCCATGCCAAGAGAGGGCCAGGGCCGGAGACCATCCGCCTTTCCCCGCTGGGCAGCTACTCTCCGGTGCGCAACAACGTGCCTTTCTTCCAAAGCGGGGAGTCCTCCTGCTCGCCTACCCCAGAGACGCAGCCCCCCCGCAGCAAGTCCTGCCCAGTCTCTGCCAACCTCCTGCCCAGCACCAAAGCTTCCCCAGCTGCTGGCAGCTGTGCCACCCAGAGGGGTGCCGGGGCTGGTGTCCTGCACAAGCAGAGTGAGAGCTCCTCACCAGTGGCCAAGAAGGAGGAACCCCCAGGCCCCCCTGCACCACTGGCCAAGGACCGGCTCCTCGGTGGCTCCCTCTTGCCGTTGTTATCCGGTGGCTGGAGCCTGGCCAGAACGGAGAGCCACAGTGAACCCCAATGGAAGATAGGGTGCAGTGAGGCTGCCAGCTTCAGCTCCTTGGGTGTTGGCGTCCCGCGGCCCCTCAATGGTAGGTGGGCCTTGCAGGGAAAGGTTTAACTTTGCATGCCTGGAATGTATGTGTGTCCTATGGGTAAATAATGCAGATGGGCCTGGTTCTGTGTGATGGTCCATTTGTCATCTGACTCACCCTTTGACCTGAGACAAAGTGGGGGAGGGGGTGAAAGGCCTCTATTGGGCAGCGAGGCAGTCTGACCTCAGGGCCTCCTCCACCCCCCCCCTTTCTAGCCTCTATGATGATGCACTGGCCAAGTTGCTCCCCTGCATGGGGGGAGGGGAGTGTCTCCCGGGGTCTAATGCTGCTGCTGCTGAGTTGCTGCTCAGTCTGCCCCTTTGTCTCTGTCTCCTCCTCGGCTTCGGCTTTCCCTCCCCCGCCCCGACTGGCCTGCTGCGGCCATAGCCAACCACCTCTCTCTGCAAGCCTTGAAGTGGCGGGAGTACCGGCGGAGGAACCCCTTGGGACTGGACCGCGTTTCGGACCTGGCAGGGCTGACTGGCCACCTGGACTGGAAGCAGCCGGAGAGCAAGCTGCCCTGGAGAAACCCCCTGCTGGAGATGCCAGTTGGCCGCCCTGGACCCAGACTCCACGGTGCGCCTTGGCCAATGCAGGCTCCCCTTCTTGGCTCCCCTTGGCTGGTCAATATTGGTCAGCCCAAGGAAAGGGGGCTACGGGGGCTGTGGACCTGACTTGCAGCTCCCTGGAAGGGGGGGGGGCTGCAGTGTCCCCTGCCACCCATTGCTTATTTCCCCTGGCGCGGAGTTTCTGTGGGGTCAGAGATATCGTGGATGTGATTTATATCATATATTTGTCCAGGTGTCCTTGTTTCTTTAAGCTGCCTATTTCTTTCAATGCTCTAAGCCGCCCAGAGACTGTTTGGAGTCGGGCAGCCTCAGAGCCCAATAAAGTAATAGGATGGTCATGACATGCCCCGCCCCCCCGTGTGTCTTGCAGGGCCGGCAGTGAAACAGTCCCAGCACAGCTGCCCCGACTTCTTCCCCGACTATTTTTCATTGGCCGAAAAACCACCAGCTGAGTTCTGCCTGTCCCCGGACAGCAACGCGGAGTCTGTCTCCATCGATCTGTTGCAGAAGAAGGGTCAGCTTGGGGAGGGGTGGGGAATGAGAAGGGAGGGGGGCCCTGGGCCCTTGCACCATTCCAAGGTATCTTCCATATGAGCTGGGGTGCTATTTCCTGGGGATGGGGGTGGGGCCCTCCTCAACAGATGCTGTTTGTGGAGGTAGAGCAGACATGTCAAACACATGGCCTGGGGGCCGGATGCGGCTCGCAAAGTGGTTTCATGTGGCCTGCAAAGCCATCCTGGAAACAGTGGGGGAACGCCCCCCGCTGCCTTGGCCCTGGCCCAGGCCGGCCGGGAGCCAGTGTACAATTTTGCTGAAACGCATTCAGTCTTAGCTCCACAAGACCATCTGGAAACAGCGAGGAACCAGCCCCTGCCACGTTGGCTCCGCCCCCTGTGTGCATGGTGGGGAGGTGTCACCCTTTGTGAGGAACGAAGAAATGCACCATGCCTTGGCGCTTGCCCCGGTCCCACCCCCTTCTGCCAGAGACCCTCAGATCTGTGCCACTCCTGCCCAGGCGGGGCCCCACAGGCACCCTTGACGCAAACGATGTAGAGCTGGCCATGCCCACCCAGTAGGCCACACCCACTCAGGCTGCACCCACCCTGGCCACACACCCCTGCTCCTCCCCCAGGGCAACTGCAATGCTGATGTGGCCCTCAGTGAAATTGAGATTGACACCCCTGAAATAGAGGATGGAGGGCAGTGAGGAAGGCCCAGGACTTGGGGTGGGAGGGGTGGATCCTTTGGGCAGGGAAGAAATCCAGTATAGCCAGGAGAGGAGGCTCTAACCCCCCCTATCTGTTTCAACATTTAAATACCCCCAAATACATCCCTAGTTAAAACATGTGGCTGTTAGATGTGGACAGCGTGGACAGCGTGTTCGTGTGTGGGGCGGACAAGGAGTGGTTACAGCCTTTTCCCCTGCATCAAGCAGTGGGTATCGCTCCCTCAACTGCTCTGCTTTCAGCCCCCTCCCCCTTATGGCTTGAGAGGGAGGGAGAGTAAGATTCATTTGACACAGAAAAGCCCCCCCCCCAAATGTCTGTGGCCAGACCAGGCCCCCCAGAGCCCTAGACAGGAAGGAGGGGCCAAAGTGTCTGCTCGGCTGATGGGAAAGCTCAGCCTCTTTACTTTTTCTGTCCACCAGGTCTTGTCAAAGCAATCAACGTGTCCGTAGACCTCATTGTGGCCCATTTTGGGACCAGCCGGGATCCTGGAGTGAAGGTGAGCTGGCTTTCTTCTTCGCTTCCTCTCCCTTTAGTGCCTCCATCGTTCCAGCGATAGGCCTTCCCTGACATGTCCCTTTAAGGCAGGGGTAGGCCACCTTGGCTCTTTTATGACTCATGGGCTTCAACTCCCAGAATTCCTGAACCAGCCATGCTGAGGGGAAAGGGAGAGGTTTCCAAGCCGAGCCATTCTGGCTCAGGAATTCTGGGAGTTGAAGTCCACGAGTCATAAAAGAGCCAAGGTTGCCGACCCCTGCTTTAAGGTATGACTGTCTCATGGGCACTGCTAGTGCCCCCGCCACCTTGGGGCAGTTGAAGGAGGCAGGAAGTGGGATGGCCTTGGAAAAGATGGAAGCATCAGCCCTGAAAAAGAGGAGCAGGTGAGGAGGAAACTCAAGTGGGCTCATCTTGACCCTCTCGGCTACATGATCCCGTTATTATAACAATAAAAAAGCACTGCAGAAATTTATGTGGCCTACCTTTGAGGGCTGGCAGGCAATTAGACCAGAATGTTGGGCCAAGAGCTTCCCCCCCCCACCTCCACTACTTGCCTGGAAAGTTATCCTATCCCTGGTGCCGAGCCCATTGGGGTTTGCCTGGGGGCCAGTCCAGGGAGGGTCCCATTCCCCACTGGACTGTACGCCTTGTGACCGAGGCAGGTTCTTTGAAGAGCAGTGCCACTCCAAAGCCCCAGCTGAGCTGGGCTGCCTCCAGCCAAGCAGAGGTGTGGGGAAGGGTGGGGGCTGCTGCTGGGGTCCTAGGTGCTTCCTTTTTTCTCCTTTTGAAAGGAAAGGCGGAGCTTTACCTGCCAATCAACCCCCACCTTCTGCGTTGTTCCTGCTGAAGTCGTGCAGGGGGAAGGGGGAGAGGAAAGGCACGCTTTTACCCAGGAGGTGCTGGGAGGGGTGAGGGTGGGGGGGTAAGGCCAGGGGTGGTTCCCACCATTTGATCTCTCCTCTCTCCTCCAGGCCAAACTTGGGAACAGCTCGGTGAGCCCCAATGTGGGGCATCTCATCTTGAAGTACCTGTGTCCAGCCATCCGGGATGTCCTGAGTGATGGGCTCAAGGCCTACGTGCTGGACGTGATCGTTGGCCAGAGGCGGAACGTCCCCTGGAGCATCGTGGAGGCCTCCACCCAGCTCGGTATGGAGCTTTGGGGTCTGGCCTTCTGCCCTCCAGCACCTGCAGACCTCCAAGGCTGCCTTTTGCTGGGAGGCTCAGTCTGGGCCTCCGAGGGTTGCCTGCTCTCCTTCCCGCCATGGGAAGGCCCTGGTCTCCTTCCCAGCACTGGCCAGCCCTTGCCTGCTCGGCTTGTGGGCCTGACCCAAAGGAAGAAGCTGACATCCTTCAGCCTGGGGACGGGGGTGAGGGCTGTCCATGGCACCTGTGGCATTGCAAAGCAGGTAGGCTTGTCAGAGTGTCAGCCAAGGAGGGTGTCAACGCTGCTAACATTGGATGTTCTTGCTTTGACAAAATAGGAAGGCAGCCACTCTCTGTATAAGCTCTGCGGTATTTTTAGAGTTAAATTAGATGATGCTGGGAGGGGGGGAGAAAGAATGTGTGTGGGGATTAGTTAAGATAAGGAAGTTTCCCTTCCTTCTGGCTACAGAAGGAAGGGAAACTTTGCCCTTCAAACTAATTGGAGAATGTGATTTATGACTGCAAATTAGAGGAGGGGAATATGCTGTAATATTATGTGCTCAGGGGAGGGGAATTCAGATCTTGGCATCCTCCATGCTGTGCCGACACTTTGTTACACGATTAAAGACTTTTTAGGATAAACAATGCCTGGAAGTTCTTTGAAGTGTTTCGTTAATCGGAACCATGACAGAGGGTTGATCTGTCCTGCCCCTCAGCTGCTTAAAAGAGAATTGGTCACCAATCAGAGGCAGTGGGGAGCAGCGGGGGGGGGGGAGAATACTGGCTTGGGGGTGCATTCTGGTGCCCCCCTTTTGGACCTGAGGGACTGGGGGCTCCCATAACTGAAGGGAGCCACAGTGGCCAAGAGCTGGCACCCTGCCTGCTTTTCTGATGCTCCCCCCCTCCTCTTTCGCAGGACCCTCGACGAAAATCCTGCACAGCCTCTACAGCCGCGTCAACCAGTACCCGGAGCTCACCAGCCACAGCATGCGCTTCAACGCCTTCATCTTCGGCCTCCTCAAGTAAGCAGTGCTGTTTCCGCCCGCCCCATTGCGGAAAGGACAGGGAGGGCAGGGAATGTGGGGAGCGTCGCTTTGCTTCCGGGAAGAAGGCAGCGTGAGGGAGGGGTCCTCCTAGAGCAGTCTTTCTCAACCTCAGCAACTTGAAGGTGGGTGGACTTCAATGCCCAGAATTCCCCATCAGCCAGCCAGCCATACCTTAACCCTAACACAGCCATGCTGACTGGGGAATTCTGGGAGTGAAAGCCCACCAGTGAGAGGCCCAGAACGCTGGAAGGGAGAAAAGGCTGACACCAGAAACGAGGGAGCCTCCCTTAGCCATCAGCCTTCTCCTGATCCTAAAATGGCGAAGTAGGGTTTTGTACTAACATGGGGTCGGCAGTTAAAAGGACCGAATCTGCCCCAACTCCATATTGCTCCAAGGCGCCTCTGACAGGCAGGGCCAAGAGGCTCCGTGGCAGGAAAGGAAAACTGGCAAGGGGTGTCAGGGGCCCCAGGTGAGGGAGGCCAACAGCGCCCGGATGTCGGTCGAGGCGCTGTGTTTGAGGGAGGCAACGCCACACGAGGTTTCCAGTTTTCCATAATGAAGCGTGAGCAGCCTCCGTCCTTGGGCCAGACTGACCGTCCTTGGAGGTCGCTTTTCCCCAAACTGTGAAGTTTGTAAGCGAAGATGCAGAGCTTCATTTGACTCTGTTCTTCAACATGCCACGGTTCTTGTTTATTCTTAAGCAAGCATCCAGTTGCATACGTAGCTTACATACAGCTGCGCTGCCAACTATCATTCTATTCTTGGAGTCTCGTCCTGCTATCATTTTTCCACATTTTTTTTTTTTTGTCCAAATCAAGGCTGCAAACATACCTAGCAGTCCTGCCACCTGTTTTCCACCCAACTACAGCCCTGTGAAGTGGGTTGGGCTGAGAGAGAGAGGGGCTGCCCCAAAGTCACCCAGCGGCTTTCCTGCCTAACTCACCGCCTCCTGGTTCCTAGGCTAACACCATCACCATTAACACCATGTGGCCCAGTGCCTGGCTTGTGTCCCCCAATGGTTCCTCTTGCAACCCAGCCCTGGCCCGGCACTCCTGCCTGTTCTCACCCTCTCTCTGCTTTCTCCACCAACAGCATCCGGTCCCTGGAGTTCTGGTTCAACCACCTCTACAACCACGAGGGTAGGTCCTTTGCTCCTGACCTGCGTGGGGGAAGGCTGTGTGCTGGGGAAGGCTCAGGGATGTTGCCCAGAGGGTGGCAGATGCCCTCAGGAGGCTCATCCGCTCTTGACATACAGACCCCTGCCGTGCCGGTGGACTTGGCCACGTGGGCCTTCCTGAGCTTCTGAAAGAAGGCAGGAACGCTGCGGGGGGGGGCAGGGGAGGGATGGTAGGTGAAGCTGAGCAGCCCCGAGCCTCCTGATCGCCTTTGGCTGGCCTGGCTGGGGTTCTGAATGCTCGAGATGCCGGGGGGCCCTGGTGACGGTGCCCTTCTTCTCCCCCCCCCAGATGTGCTGCAGGCGCACTACCAGCCGACAGGCTTCCTGCCTCTCGCGCACGGGGCCTGCCAGGGCCTCTTCGAGGAGCTCCTGCTGCTGCTCCAGCCGCTCTCCCTGCTGCCCTTTGGCCTGGACCTGCTCTTCGAGCACCACCTGCTGCAGGTGGGCAGGTGGCAGCAGCAGCAGAAAGAGCTCCTGCGAGGCCAGCAGGGCCTGCTGCTCTCTGCCCACTCCACCCTACAGCTCATGCGCACCCGTGGCACCCAGCGGGCTGGCGAGGGCTCCCGGGGCCCGCCCCCCCTGGAGAGAGCAGCGCAGCTAGCCAAGGGGGGCCCGGAGCTGAAGAAGGACAGGCAGGCCAGCTGGTGGCTGCAGCTCACCCAGAGCTCCCAGGTCTACATCCAGGACTCCCCGGAGGGCGCCCGCCTCGCCCACCACGAGCGCAAGAAGAGGGCGGGGGCCAGGCCGGCAGAGGCTGCGAGGGGCCCTCCCCCGAGGGAGGGGGTGGTGGAGGGGGCAGAGGCCCCCCCACCCACAGAAGCCCCCCCAGTCACAGAGAGGCTCCCGGCTGAGGAGGCAAAGCCGCCCTGGAAGCCAGGCCCTCCGGCCAGGGAGGAAAGCAAGGAGAAGGGCCGGCCCTTCTGGATGGGCAGCCCCCCGGATGCAGTGTTGGCAGAGCTGAAGCGCAGCAGAGAGCAGGACCAGGCAACTGCCCTGGGGAAGGAGCAGCCCGCCACCCACGTCCCCAGCAGCGGCCAGCCCAAGTGGGCGTACCTCTTTGGTTCCCACCAGGCGCCCAAGGAGCCCAAACAGGCCAACAGGTACTGTCGCTGGCGGTCGGGGTTGAGCTCTGCCTTGGAGGGATTGTTTGGGGCTGGGGTGGGACAGCCTGGACCCTCAAGTGGGATGAACTGAGGATGGCCGACTTCCAGACTGAGAGCTGCGCCCTGGACTCTCCGGCCTGCGCAGTTCTTTCTAACAGCAGGAAGAGGAGCTGGTTTCTAACTCCGCCCCCCCCTTGTTAAATTGCGACTAGGGCGGGGCAGTGGGGTCCTTGTGGCCCACCATAAGAGAGAATTCTTACAGGAGACGTTGATAAAGAGGCGATTTGCACCCCGTCCCGGTTTGCTTTGTAGGCATCTGTGTCCTGAGCTAGGCTGGATGGGAGGCAGTGTTGCCCGGCTGCTTAGGGGGTGCAGCTGCCATCTTAGCTGGCAGATGTGCTGAGGGGACCTCACCTGGTGGCCCTCCGCCATTCCCAGGCAAAGCTGCAGTGCCCACTGCTCCCCCAGCCTGACTGCTGCCTTCTCTGCAGGATGCCCTCTGGCTGGCTGAGCTTGGACCGCTCCATCTTCCAGCTGATGGCCCAGACAGTGGGCGCAAGCATGTGGCGAGAGACCGAGACGGCACCCAAGCAGCTGCCCATAGCCAAGGGGCAGCCGTCGGACGGGAGGGCCTCCCCTAGCACCCCATGGTGAGTGCCTTGCAGCCGGGGCTGGTGTGGTGGGATGCCCCAATCTGCCTGGCTCTGCTCTGGGGCTGGCAGACCCTGGGCAAGCCCCCTTCTGCCACAGACCCCATCGCAGGCTGATGCTATGTGGCTGTCCTAGGCTGGCCTCCCAACCCCTTTGGGCAGCGGATCTGTGGAGGGGAGGGGGCTGCCGGCCCTTATGCGCTCTGCTCCTGAGCCTGCCGAGAAGCAGGATCGGGGCAGCCAGTCTCACTCCAGATTCTGCTGGCCGGACCTCTTTTGCGCTGGCTGTGGCTCTTGGCTGGGGTAACTTCTGGCACCATGCCCTCCCCGTTCCCTGACAGAAGAGGGTGGGCACAGCTGGCTGGCAGGCATTTTCAAAAAAGGCTGCCTGAGCATCTGGCCCTTGGAGGAAGAGACCTTGCAGGGTGTGTGATAACCCAAGAACAATGGAGGGAGTGACAAGTGGGGGGCAAGGCCGGGACTGGCTGCTGGATTTTAGCCTGGCTGGGGTGGGGGGGACCCAGTTGCTCCCCTGCAGTCAGCAAGACCCTTGATGGTTGGGGGCAGCGGTATCAATGTAGTAAAAGCTTTGGTTCCCCCCTAGGTGGGAAGGAAGCCGGTTCACACTGCCTGCTGTGTCTCCAGGGCTGGGTGGGGAAGTGCCCATCCTCTTCGGCATGCTCTCTTTTCCCCAGGGCGGTGAAGGCACTTTGCCACCACATTGCCACCGAGGCCGGGCAGTTGAGCTTCAAGAAGGGAGATATCCTGCGGGTGCTGGGCAGGGTGGACGCCGACTGGCTCCGCTGCAGCCGCAGGGAGGGAGCCGAGAGCGGGCTGGTGCCAATCATGTACGTCACCCACCTGGAGGATGCCGATTATTGATGGGCAGGCGATCCCTGATGGTGCCCAGGAGCCAAGCCGGCCAACAGGCCCCTCGCCAAGATTCGGCCAAGGACCCAGCTTCTCTTGCCTGCCCTGGGTGGGGGAGGGGGCTAATCCTCTCTGCCGGGGGTCTCCTGTGGCCAAACTTTCCCTTGCATGCGCCTCTCCCCTTCCTCTTCTCCAGGGCACCTACGCCTGGTCCAAACGAGAATGGGGCCCCTGTGATGGGCCCTCGGAGCCCGCTCCAGACTTTGGGGGACTGTGGGCTAACCTGTATTAACGTTGGGCAGGGGGAGGGAGGGCGGGGGAAGCGAGACGCTGATGGGAGCAGCGCGGCCTCTGTGCATGTGTGTGTGGACGGGGCCGGTCATAGTCGGTCTCTGCAGGAGCAGCTGATCAGTCGGAGAACAGTGGGTGACCAGCCAGCTTTCCCACCGAGGGTGGAGGCTTTGAAGACAGAAGGGGCACACAACAAAATGGCCCTCATAGCACAGGCCTGGTGGTGTCGATGGGCCCTCTTGACTAGATGGGGAGAGGGTTTTCGTGGGGGAGGGGCCGGAGCTTTCGCTGTTTCCTGGGTTGTGTTCTGACCATTGGGGAGGAAGGGGGCTCCCCTCCCCCACAGCCAGTGGGCAGTGCCAGTCAGTATTTGGGGCTGGGCTGGGTGGGGCTCTTGCCTGCCCGCCTCGTCCCCTCAGAGGACACAGATGAGAATGCAGGCCTCAGTCCTGCCGGTGTTGCGAGGGTGGCGCCATATTTAATTTATACTTCCGGCGTTAGAACAGGGTGTCTCGCCTTTATTTATTTCTTTATTTATGACACGTATTAATAAAAAAGGTGCTGATTACAAGCTCCCTTGACAGACATGCCTGATGATTCCCCCCATCCCGGCTTCTTTGCAGGGCCAAGACATTGGTTCTCTCCCCCCCCAAAAAAACCCCTAACCCCCAAAAACTCCCTCCCATTTACACAATTAAGCTCTTTTGATGCTTCATTCAGAAGGAATTAGCTGGACTGGTGTCCCTTTGGAGGGGTCACTTGAAGAACCCCAAGGAAGGCAGGTCAGCCTTTACGTGCCCCGAATGTGCTGTAGCAGTTGGAGAAAGGGGGAGGAGGGAGGGGGCCTTCACTCTGCCGCAAGCAGGACAGGATCCCTGCCCAGTGAGTGTGCCAATGGGCCCACCTTGGCAACTGAACTCACTCTTTTCAAGCTCTTGGAATCGAATGTGCCCTACACTAACCCAGCAGGCTGCTTGGGCATAAAACGCACTAGGGTTGGTAGGCCTGGTGTTTTACCTAACCAGGTTAGGCTTGGGTGAACCTGCCACAACTGAATGTTGCTTATTTCCAAGAAAAATGGCCTTTATACCCTTCACCCAAGTCCAGATAAAGAGCAGCCCCCCTTTTTTTCCCCTTGGTGCCCACCACCCTGGCTGGCTGAGGAATTCTGGGAGTTGAAGTCCACAAGTCGTAAAGCTGCTACTGTTGAAGAGCCTGCTGTAAAGGGTTCCTTCTCCATGGGCAGCACCCTTTGGGCAGGCATGGCAAAGGTGCCAGGGATCAGCTGGCAGAGAACTGGCTGGGGGCCTCTGATCCTGGGCACTCAGATGGTGTGCTCTCAGCTGCCACCTAAAATGTGCGAGTTAACCCCACAGGTTGCGATGATGCAGTTTGCCGTGGAGTTGGCTTGTTTCTTGTGCCACCATTCTGGCTTAAGAGCCTGGGAAGCCATGGTTTGACCTGCTGTTGAACTGTGTCCTCCTAACAAACTCTCTGTGCTCCGTGGCTGTCCCTGGGAGGTGGGAGGGCTGTGCTGCCAAGGTAGACCCATGGCCGGCACCGCCTTGGACACACCCCCTCCCACAGCACCCCAGTGCAGCAACCACAATGGGGTCTAGTTATCATCAAGGGCAGCCCCGCCTATAATGGATTGCGATCACCAAAGCGTGGGTTAACATTGTGAGGAAGGCTTTTGCCAGGACCTGTAGCAGGCTGGTGAAAGGCCCTTTGTGCCCCAGAAGGTCAGAGGGGGATCTAGATGCCACCCGAAGAGAGAAGGCAGTTGCAGTCCACATGGTGAGGGGGTACAGCTGGCCTCCACTGAAGTAGAACAGGCTCCACTTCTACCTCCTTCACACCCACCAGCTGCCGGGTCTGTCTGGAGAGCCTCTGGCACCAGCACCCCAGGGTCTGCCTTACGCGGACACGGCCCACCCAAGAGTGGGCCTTGGGGAGGGAGCCACGGATCCCCCTACTGTGTGACATCCAGCACCTGCTTCTCAAGGGTGGTTTGGCCCAGGGCGTCATGGGTGAGATGGCCGTAGGTGTGGCCGAACTGGAATTTGTAACCTGGGTTTAGAGAGAGGGGGAGAGAGAGAGAGGGAGGGAGGGAGGGAGGGAGAGAGAGAGAGAGAGAGAGAGAGAGAGAGAGAGAGAGAGAGAGAGAGAGAGAGAAGTAGTGACCACTGTGGGCCAATCCGCAGCCACAGCTAATGCCATCAGTGCCCGGGAATCTGCAAAGGAAGCTGGGAAGGAGGCATGGGGCCTCTGAAGGGGAAGCCGAAGGAGGCTGGCAGATGGACATAATGGTGGGCATGTGATTGACAGCGCACTAAGGCGCACTTCCCCAGTCCGTGAGCTGCAGGTGGGCACAAACGTGGCTCCTGCCTTGGGAACGGGGTGGGGAGGGGAGGCACTGACTGCATATGGGACTGGGGATTTCCCCCTCTGTTTCTCCTCCCTCAGCAACACCTGCTGGGGAAAGCCCCCTTCCCCCTCCCTCTGGAGGAATGTACGCATATCCAGAAGAGCTTGCTTGGACAGCCGCCTGAGCAAAAGGGGGCAGCGTGAAGGGCTCTATGACTGCTGGGTCCGTTGGGGTTCCTGAAGGAGCCCCAACCTCTGTCTAAGATCTGACCAGTTGAGGGGTTGTAGACCCAGCGGGGGGGGGGGAGGAGTTCTGGATGGAGCAGGAAAGAGGGGCTCATGAGGAGCAAATCAGCTGCAAGGCTGCCAGGGACAGTCCTGCTGGTCACGTGCCCAGAAGTAGCCGTGCAGAAGGCAGAATGAGGTCCTCACGCCCACCAACCCAGCTGCACAAAGCCCTTCTTGGCAGAAGCCATGGAAAACGCCAGGGGGGACATACTCCAGCCATGTGTTGCTGGCAGAACGGAACTTCCTCTCCTGCCAAAAATGGGGCACTGAGGCTTTTCTAAGGGCCTGCTGCCCACAAGGCTCTCCTCTGAGTGCCTGCAGCCCACCAGAAGGGGCCCCTTCCCCCCCCCTTCTGCGGAACAACCAGAATAATGTTCTGTGTGCATAAGCAGAGCTTTGGCCTTGTGTGTGTGTTTTGTTTGACTGCTGCCAGGTGCCTACCAAGGGGAAAGAAAACAACAAAGCCTGTTCCCTGGCACAGGCGGAAGGGGCATAGACACCCCCCCTCCAGGACAGAATTCATGGCCACCAATGTGGGGCTGCATGCTAGAAAGAATTAGGCACAGCAGACATGCCCTCGTTTTCTAGGGAAGCCACAATGATCACAGTCACACATGAGGCTTATCTAGTTACTATAATCCAGAGTGCCGAAGTACAGTTTGTTTCATGGGGTCAAAAGTGTGGTGAGAAAAGTGTTGTGAGCTGCAGCTGTGTCCTTCTGAATCCAATTAGCCTGGGGCAGGAGTGTCCAATCTTGGCAACTTTAAGACCTGCGGACTTCAACTCCCAGAATTCTCCAGCCGACATGGAGACCACAAGTCTTAAAGCTGCCAAAGTTGGACACCCCCAGTCTAAGGGGCTCTGGGTTAAATGACCGCTATCCCCTTAGCAGCATTTTGTGAACAGTCATTCAAAATTGGACAGTCCGAAGGCCTCTGAGACAAGGAACTGAGGGGGGGGGGCTGAAAAGTAGGACTCTCCTTGCCCTCCAGAGAATGCTGCTGAGCTGGTCAGCCTCAGTGGGCCTGCAGGGGCTTGTGGACTCTGGCATGTTCTGGAGGCCCAGGGCAAGGACCCTCCGTCCTCCCGGGTGGGCAGCCTCTGGTTGGTGTGGCACTGGGATGTCCAGTCCACTGGTGAGGTGGTTTAACTGGATTAGTGGCTGTTGTCCCAACTGAGTGAATCGGCTGCATATCTCAGGGCCCCCAACCCATAGCTGGACTGCCTGGAGCTCAAGGGATCCTCCCAGAGAAGCACTGGCACCCTCTGCAGCTGGGCTGGTGGGAATCTGTGCAAAGGTGGATTTGGATCAGGAATCTTCTTTATGGGCCTCTCAAGGGGGCTGTGGAAGAGTCCGCTCAGAAGGCGGCCTGGAGGGTGCGAGCAAGCCTGCCGATCCCTGGAGTTTCTGCCTGGCCAGTTGTGGCACAGCAGTGCTTCATTCCACGGGCACAGACTGGGAGGGGTGCAGCGGGACTGTGGATGCTTGCCACTCCTGCCAGTTCCCATCTCTGGCATCAGAGGTGCAGCAGAGTAAAATCCCACCTCCGGTGCTGGGGCTGCTTCTCTGGCAGGAGGTCAACTTGCCCAGAGCCGGATGAAAGATGCCGGGGCCGTGCAGGGTATGGTGGGGAGGTGCAATCCAAAGGACGGGGGAGGGCAAGTGGGGGGAAAGGAACTCACCTGGCACGAAGCCTCTATAGTGGGGAAGGAGGCCCCTGTCTGTGGGGTATGTCTTGGCCAGGGGCGGGAGGGGATCCCCCCTCTGCGAAGAGCCTTGCCCCGTTTTGTGCAGCATCTCATCAAACTCCATCCTTGCCCGCCGAGCAAGAATGGGGTAGCTTGCTCCAATCAGGAACTGGAGGCGAGGCACAAAGCCGGTGAAGCCTGCGCGACAAAGTCAGGGAGCTTAAACCTGCAGGCCCCTCCTGCAAGGGAGCCCAGCCCTGGCCCTCCCGCAGGTGGGCAATCTGGGCTCAGCAGCAGCTTTGGCTGGTTCCCACCAGCCAGGTGTTTCTGAAGCTATCGGCATCAAGTTGTCAGCTTCCCCAAGCATAAGACTCCCTCTCACTTTTGAACCCCCAAACACATACCACAATTGTTCCCGCTAACTGCCTCTTTCTCAGAAGGCACATTTCCACAAATTGCCTCCAAGTAAATCCCCTTAACTGGTACCTCTGGATTCACTCTCCCTCCACTCGGTCTTCTCGGCCAGCCCCTTTGCTCCCAGGCTGCCTTTGACCTCTCTGCCTGCAGAGCCACAAACCCTGGCACCCTGTGCCCCTGGCCCTAACAAACAAGGCCCTGAAACCCCCAAAGAGACTCGCAAGCCCTGGCTCTAAGTAGGCTGTGGCAGCAAGGAAGGGGGGCAGCAGAAGCCGCAACTGGTGCCACACCAGAGGGAGGGCAGGGAAGAAGAGGCTGGGAAGCCCTAAGAGCACAGATATTGGCTGCTTCTGGCCTGGTGGGAAGGGCCATTTCAGCCTCTCTCCTGCGAGCGAAACGCTCTTACTCTCTGGGACATGCTTGCTTCCTTCTCCCCTAGGACTCAGGAGCCTGACCTGAAACAAAGGTTCTCTCCAGCGCAAGGGGCGTTCCTGGGGCCTGGAAAGCTGGGGTGGCGGCAGCAGCAGCAGCAGTCCCAGTTTTGGGCAGGGCAGGGAGAGGCTAGGAGCAGAGCAGAGCCAGCCGTGAGTTCCTGGAGGCCTCTGAACACCTGACAGCTCCTCTCAGTGAAGCAGCATCTGGCAGAGGAGGCAGAGGGCCCCAAGAAGGGCCCCAGAAGAGCAGCACCCTGTGGTCCCATGCACTGCCTGCCTTCAAGATTGGAGGCAGCTTCTAGCATAGGTCTTGAAGGGTTCAAATGCTCTTTGTTTTTCATTGTTGTTGTTCTGGGGGACACCCATGCAGAGAGACACAAAAAGCATCAGGGAGGGAGGAAGGAAGGAGAGGGAGGGAGCGAGGGAGGAAGGAAGGGAGGAGAGGAAGGAAGGAAGGAGAGGGAGGGAGGGAGGGAGGGAGGGAGGAGAGGAAGGAAGGAAGGAGAGGGAGGGAGGGAGGAAGGAGAGGGAGGGAGGGAAGAGAGGAAGGAAGGAAGGGAGGAGAGGAGGGAGGAAGGAAGGAAGGAAGGGAGGGAGGGAGGGAGGGAGGAGAGGAAGGAAGGAAGGAGAGGAGGGAGGCAGAGGAGAGGGAGGAGGGAGAGAGGAAGGAGGAAGGAAGGAGAGGAGGGAGGAAGGAAGGAAGGGAGGAAGAAGGAGAGGGAGGGAGAAGGAAGGAATGAGAGGGAGGGAGGAAGGAGAGGGAGGGAGGAAGGAAGGAAGGAGAGGGAGGGAGGAAGGGAGGCAGAGAGGAAGGAAGGGAGGAGGGAGGAAGGAGAGGGAGGGGGGAAGGAAGGAGAGGGAGGAAGGAAGGGAGGAAGGAAGGAGGGAGGAAGGAGAGGGAGGGAGGCAGAGAGGAAGGAAGGAGAGGGAGGGAGGGAGGAAGGAGGGAGGGAAGGAGGAAGGAAGGAAGGAGAGGGAGGGAGGAAGGAAGGAAGGAGAGGGAGGGAGGAAGGAGAGGCAGAGAGGAAGGAAGGGAGGAGGGAGGAAGGAGAGGGAGGGGGGAAGGAAGGAGAGGGAGGAAGGAAGGAAGGAGGGAGGAAGGAGGGAGGGAGGGAGGCAGAGGAAGGAAGGGAGGGAGGAGAGGGAGGAAGGAAGGAAGGAGAGAGAGGGAGGAAGGGAGGGAGGAGAGGAAGGGAGGAGAGAAAGGAAGGAAGGAGAGAGAGGGAAGGAGGAAGGAAGGAAAGGGAGGGAAGGAGAGGTTTTGAATGGGAGACTAAAGCACCCTCCTCATGTCCCCCTACTCAAGCCATGACCCAGCTGGGGACCCTCTGCTGGGGTGTGAAAGGCAGGGGAAGCCTTCATTTGCACAAGCTTTGGGAGGAGAGCTCAGGCTGTGCCCCTTTTTGTCTCTACCTCAAGCCTCCTCTGAAATGGGCAGGCATGCCAGGGACCTCTCCCCCTCACAGCTGGGGCTGGAGGAGAGCCCCCTCAGTGAGGGGATTCAGCCCTTCTCCAGGAGATGCTCTGGAAGTCCCCAGACCCACCCCTTGGCCTACACCTGCCCTGCCTGCCACTTACTCTGTTTTCCAGCTGGGGGGCTTTGGTGGTCTCCTTGGCTTGGCCCCGGCCACGGTCCCCCTGCTCCTGCTGGGGCATAAACTCCAGCCAAGCCTGCCTGCAGATTTCTCCGTAGGTCTTGGCAAAATGGTGCTGGGCCCTGGGAATGAATCCTGCCAGGAGACACAGGAGAGCCGGAAGAAGGCAAAGTGAGGCACTGCGCTCAGCTAGGAATTTGTACCTGGCTTCTCTGCTCTGGGCAGTGCCACCACCATGGGGCACAGCTGATGGGCTGGTGCCCTTTCCCCACCCTCTCAGATAGAGGGAGGACTGGCTTGCTGGCACTGGGAGCTCTGGCCCCATCTGAGGTGCTCAAAATTGATGGGGGGGGGAGGCTGTGTCTAGGCTACCCCCCACTAGGACACCCAGTGTAACCTTCCCCTCCCCCCTTTGCTTTGCTGAGTCCCGACCATCCCCAACTCCCTCCTGCAAGGGACCGAGAAATGTCAGCCCCCTCCCCCAATTCTTCAGCTGGCCCGCCTGACACTCTCAGCTGGGGGAGACCCGACCTGCCAGCGCCACTTACCCGTGTAACCCGGGATCGCGCTGCAGCCTTTGCCCCGGGACCCCCGGCCGTGCCCCGGTCTCTCCTTTGCGGCGCAGAGGGAGCAGTTGGGCTGCAGGAGCAGCCGGCCAGAGCGGCTGGGGGCGGCCAGCAGCTGCGAGGTCAACTTCCCGTAAGTCCGCCCCAGGGTGAATTTGTAGCGGGGACAGTAGCCGCCGTAGCTGCAAGGACAGGAGCGGGAGAGGAGACCCCCCCCCCCGCCCAAAGCAGCCGTCAACTTTCCTGCCCGTCGGCGCTCCCGGGCTCACCGGCTCTGCGGCCCTTCCCCCCCCCCAGCCCCGCTAAACTCAGCGGCCGGCCTCATACTGGCCCCGTTGAACTTGCCCGAAAGCCAGCCGAGAGCCGGAGCGCAGAGCTCCGCAGCCGCCGCCGCCACTGCCCCGCTGAAGTCGGGCTCTTGGCTCCGGCCGGAAGGTGTTGGGGGGGTTCCCGCCGCTTTCCAGCGCGGCGGATTCCGCGGGCGGAAGGAAAGAGGCGCCCTTCTTCCTCGCCGGTTTCACGCCCTCCTCCTCCTCCTCCGCCACTCGTGCACACGCGAGGAATCCGCCCGCCCAGGACTCGCACGCTGAGCTTCGCCCTCGAGTTGCTATGGAGCAACTGGCGGAGGAGTGGGTGGGTGGGGGCTGTTTGCGCGACCTGGAAGAGATCCCCTCCAGCGCCCTGCCTGGACATTGCCAACCGGCCTCCCCATTGCGGGAGCCCCAGCCAGGCTCGTCCCCCTGGGCCCCACTGCCGTGGAGGCGCCAAAGCCAGGCCCGCAGAACGGCCAGGGGAGCCGGGGGAGGGGGACACGGGAAGACACTTACCCAGGGAGGTAGTGGGGCTCTGGGGTCATCAGGACCTGGCTGAGTTTGGGGGCAAACGCCGTTGAGGCCATGGTTGGTGGAGCGGCTGCCCTGAGCCCTGGCTGGGAAGGGCTTTGTATGTGTTGGGGGAGGAGCCGGAATGGCAGCTGCTGCCCAGGGGAACCGTCGCCAGGCAGAAGCTTGCCAACCTTGCCAGGCAGGGGGATAAAGGCAGGCCACCAGGCGCAGGGACTGAGCGCAGACCAGCCGCCTGGTGCATGGATGGTGGTGGTGGGGGAGATCTTGGCCGCCTTCAATGCTGGGGGGAAAGAGACCCCTTTCTCCCCGCAGCAGCCTTTCGTTAGAAGTGCCTCAGAATGTGCCCCTTCTTCTCAAGAAGGGCCAGACTGGCAAGGTGCCCTCTGCCAAGGTTGCTGGGTCTCCCTCGGAATTTCTCCTTTGGCAGCCTGCATGACTCTGGGGGCAGAAAGGCCAGGGCTAGTAGGCAGGTCTGGGAGGAGAGGGGGAGGCAGAGCAGGGAAGGGCAGCCCCCTCTCCGTCCCCACAACTCAGCCAGCAGCAGGGGTAGCACAAAGGAGGTGGGGGGGGGGGAACGGGCAGGGCCAGGTTGGCACCGCCTGGACATGCCAGCTGAGAAAGGGGCTGAGGGGAGAGGTCAGAGCAGGGCTGGGATGGGCTCCTCTTGGTAGCTGTTCTTTCTGTGGGGAGCTGAAAGGGGCAGGAGGAGGGCTGGGCCCCTCCCCTTCAGAAGCCCCTGGAAATCAGCCTTCTGCCCTGTCCAGGCTGAGAGAAGCTGCCAAAGCCTTGAAGCGGGCAGCGGGTGGAGGGGAGGGCAGGCTGGAAAATGAAGTGGCCAAGCAGCCTCCCTGCCCCTTCCCCTTTCAGAACCCCCCCTCCTACCTTCAGCCTTTCTTCGCTACCCCCTCAGTTCCTTCTGCCACAGATTCCTGTTTTGCTTTGGAGTATTAACGATTTGCTTTTGGAGGTCCATGCCGTGGGCTTCTCCAGGGAGTGTTGCAACACCACAGAGATATCACTGACATACACACACCCCCACACCCACACACATGATGAGGAGGGGACACCAGCCATTGGAAAGGGAAGGTGTGGATGCAAGGGTCTGGGGGCAATTGAGAGAATCGGGGTAGGGCTGTTAGCAGCAACAGCAGCAGTCTGAGTGCTGACCCACTCTTGGAGATGTTTGTTAGGCTACTGAGCAGAAAGCGTAGAAGGGAAAACATTTTGGGGGTGACCGGTAGGGGAAGACCTAGTGGAGCCCTGGGCAGGGGTGTTGGGGAGTGGAAAGAAGCAGTTGGGGTTTGGCTTCCCTCCCTGGATCCAGCTGGTGGCACCGCTAGAGACCTTGGCCCAGGCTGCAGCTCTGGGCAGACAGCAATGCCATTTCCAAGATCATCTTCACTTGGAGATGATGGATGGATGGATGGATGGATGGATGGACAGTCAATCCTGGCATGTATTAGGAAATCCTGGCTGAACAAGGATGGAAGAACTGTCCTGTTTTAAGTCCTCTGTTAGCCCTAACCCCGAAGTGATGATCCTCCTGGAATTTGTGACGTGGCCAGAGGCTCTGTCAATGAGGTGGCAGGCTGTGGGTGACTGTGGCTGAGACAGGTTGGGGATCCTCTCCCGTGCCACCTGCTTTGCTACGTGGCAGAATCCTTGGCCAAGCTCCTGCACCTGGAGGTTGAGCAGACGGGGACTCTCCCCAGGGGTTGATGCTGGATGACCGCCATCCCCATCCTCAGGAGTCCTTGGCCCCGATGGTGGGCTCCTCCAGATGGCTGTAGCCTGACCTGCCCAGGTGGTCACACAGTCGACCTATTTTATTTCACAGCAACCCAAAGGAAGTTATGCCTGTCCTGTGCTGTGATCAGGTCCCTCCCAGAACCACATGGAGCTTTCTCTGCCCCCCCCCCCCAGAGCCACAGGCCGGCCGGCTAGGGGAGGTCTTCCAGGCAGAACACAGCCAAGGATTCTGCCACGTAGCAAGTGGCACAAGAGAGGATCCCCAACCCATCTCAGCCACAGTCACCAGTTTGGGGGCCTGCCCCTATCTTCCTACTGTGAGCTGTTTGGGTAACGCTTCCCTGATGAAATTAGTCTGTTTGGCTCTAATCTGCCTTCTGACAAAGAGGCTTTTTGGAGGATTATCTGGGTTGAGGTGAAGACAAGGGGAGTGTTTGTACATGGATAAGGACGGTAGCAACCAGTGTGAAAACACCGTCCAGGTGCAAGTTGGCTCATGTTTGGTAGGAACCACGGAGATGACCTTGGGAGAAGGCAAGAGGGGACAGCTGGCAAAACACGGACCAGGCCCGGTAAGGGAGGGGGTATCGGAGGGAACTAAGTGGCTCTCTTTAGGACAGTGGTTCTCAACCTGTGGGTTGGGACCCCATTTGGAGTCGAACGACCATCTCACGGGGGTCGCCAAACAACGCAGTCCGCCATTTCCCCCCCCCCTCCTTTTCCTTAGCTGTGCTACTCCCTTTTATTCTATTGGCTTTTGAAAGCCAATAGAATAGACTCTCTTGAATAGAGTCTAATTCTATTGGCTTTCAAAAGCTAATAGGAATTGTCCAGGCTGTCTCTGTCCTGCTGAGCCCGCCAAAAGTCCCATTCTGCAAACGGTGCTGTGCCAGTTGAGTAGTCCTCGACTTACGACCGGTTGAGTAGTCCTCGACTTACGACCGGTGGGGGGGAGTCGCGGCAATAAAAAGGTTGAGAACCACTGCTTTACGACAAGGGCAGTGGGGGTGGGGGGGAAGAAAAGCTGCCTGGCTTCCCGGATTCTGTTTCTAGAGCCCTGATCAACAGGGCAGTCCCAGGATTTCAGGGGCGGCCTCTTCCTGGCCTTGCCCCCCCCCCCGAAGGACTGACCTGTTCCTGCAGGTGGGAGGTAAGAGGTTGCCTGTGCAGATGCCCCCACTATAGAGGAGAGAGACTCGGTGTCATTTCTCTCACGGGCCCCTCCCTCTTTTCTTTAATAAACCTAAATAATGCCCGAGAAAAGTGCCTGGCACTCTGCCACTCCATCCAGCAGAGCTCGTTAGAGACGGGTGCCCTCAGACAGAAGCATACACACGGGAGACCCTGCCTGGCCTTGGCATGAAGGCTCCTCCCCAGCACCAATTTATCCACTTTCAAATCTTGCATGGGGTGGGGGGGGGGGCTTTCCTGCCAGAAATATTGCTGGAGGGGCACTCTGGAGAGTCACAAGGATCCTGGCAAAGGGCTGGCCTAAAGGACCCTCCGGAGCCGCTGGTCAAGGCCAGGAACCCATCGGCTGATTTTGCGCCATGCGCCTGGAGCCCAGCAGGGGGCAGCAGTCTCTCCGTTTGAGCAGCTTCTGCTCAGCTAGAGATCAGCTAGATCAGAGGGTCCTGGTGACCCTCTTAGCCAGCCCTCCTGGGCCCAGGACCTGGTGCAGCCAAAGCAGCCAATGAGTCTGGCAGCACTTCAAGGAGCCCTGCTTGTCCCCCCCTCCCCAAAGGGTCCTCAGCTCTGCTTCCCAAGCAGTTTGAGCAGGGATCATCAATGGACGTTTAGCTAAGGGTGGACGAAGGTCGGCAGAGGGTGTCCTGAGCACAGTGGCTGTGTCCAGCCAGAGCTGCTGAAGAGAGTCTGGCTGAGCTGCTGCTTTGGGCAGCCGTGGGGTTGTCTTGCAGCCTATTTTGACCACTCCTGCTTTCCCTCTTTTTTGGGGGGAGGGGGGAGATCTGCGTAGAAAGATCAGTCCACCGACTAATCTTTGGGGTTCTACCAAGAGGGTTGACCAGAGAGCTAGTTTAACCTTAAGTATCACCAGCCCTGATATTCCCTTGAGGCTGTCTGACTGGACCTAGGACAATTCTAGCGGTGTTCACGGGTCCAGTGAAGCCCTGGGCCCCCGAGGAACTGCTTCAGATGGACGAAGGGCACTAGGGTCATGCGCAGGTTTATTTTCAGTGCCTGTCCGGACAGACACCAAATCTGCCTTGTTACCAAGCCATTACACCTGGAGTTGAGCTTTTCACCGAGTTGTCTCTAAATTATTGATCAGCCAAGGGATATCCTGTTCCACCCCATACTTCAGCTTACAGGCTGACTAACTCCTTTGTCCAATTTCATTTCATTTTGACATTTGATTTTGCTTTGATCCAGCTCATTTTTAAAAAGAAACCTCCCAACTGAAGGTGCCGCGCAGAAGACAATTTGTTCAACTGGCTGCAAAGACAGGGACTTCCAAAAACCTCTACATGGAGGGAAACTGAAGGAGAGAGAGTTGTGCTACTTGCCCTGACCCCAGAAACCCGAAGCCAAGAAGCTGGTCAGGGCTGAATTTGACCTAGATGAACATCTGGTCCTCCTTCAGGATGTGGAGGCAACGGGGAGGGGGGGGGGAGGGAGATTTGACACCACTCCTTTGTAGTAGCTCCTCTTTCTGCTGTGCTTGGCGTTCAGCTGCAGGCGTTTTGTTGATGTCCCTTGGCACAGGACTTGTGCAAAGAGTGAGTGGGGATCTTCAGGTGAAGATGGTGATGGTGATCTCAGCGGGAAGGAAGAGGATCCATCGGGCAGACAGTGATTGATTTTCCAGTTTTCTCTGAAGATGGACAGGAGCGAGCAGAACCTCCCCCGTCCATAACTGGGGTGGGGGAGGTCAAGACCTGGGAAAAGAAGAAAGACCCACGCTCATTGCACTGCACGCAACCTGGAGTCCTCAAAGAGATCAAACAGAAAAGACATCCCACAACACAACGCTTATTTGAAGGGGGTCTCTTTCTCCTGGGGCCCCAAAGTCTCCCTCCTGGGTGCTGGATTCAGGGGCTCCCCCCGAGGAAGGGGGGAGAGGAGGGGCTGTGAGGAAAAGCTGGTCCCTCCCTGGTCCCTTTCTCTGCCTCTCCTTCTACGTCTGGATTCCAGCAATGTTACCAGCCACAAACTTCCACCCCTGCATGGCGACCTTATGGTTTGCGCTGCCTGGAGCACCTGGAGAATTTTGATGAATGGTCCTCGACATACAACAGTTCATTTAGTGACTGTTCGAAGTAACAACAGCATTCAAAGAAGTGACTTACGACCGCTTTTCAGACCTATGATCGTTGCAGCACATGATCCAAATCAGGGTCACATGATCCAAATTCAGACGCTTGGCAAATGACTCACACTTATGACGGTTGCAGCGTCCCGGGGTCATGTGATTCCCCCTTTTGTGACCTTGTGACAAGCAAAGTCAATGGGGAAGCCAGATTCACTTAAAAACCCATGTTATTAACAACAACTGCAGTGATTCCCTCAATAGCTGGAGCAAGAAAGGTCATCCAATGGGGCAAAACTCACTTAACAATCGTCTTGCTTAGTGACAGAAATTTTGGCTCCATTGTGGTCATAAGTTGGGGACTACCTGTACAAACATCTAAGGCATAAATATCATCCCAGAGTTTTCCGAATAGGTCTGAGTGCCCCCTTCATCTCTTCTTGGTTTTGGGGTGTTAGGCAGCAGGACGTCACCTTGGAAAGTAACAGACTATTCTGGACATCCTGGCTTGTACACGACAGCTGGGTGTTCAGGTAGTCCTCGAGTTACAACTGTGATGGAGCTGTGATGATGATCATAAAAAGCTCAGTCTTGTGACCAAACTGATTGTGTGTCTTTTTTGAGGGACAACTGATCAGCAAATGGCATTGGGCCGCTATGGGCCGCTACGAGTGCAGTTTTGCTGAAAATGCGAAATAAATGCTGGGTGCCAAGGGCCACAAATGCAACCCGCTTGCTGAGCACCCAAAATGTGGTCATGTGTTTGCAGGGGGGAGTCGACTACCAGACTGCGTCCAGATCATTAAGGTTCCCCAGGTAGATCTATTGAAACTTCAGATGGTCACTAAGCGACAGGTTGTAAGTTGAGGACAACCTATATTCGATAAAATTCTGCTTTAGTTGCACTTGTGAAACTTTTTAAAACTAACTGGAACTTCCTGTGCTGGGCCTGTGGCGGTACATGGAACAGGTATGGCCAAAGCAGTGACCTTAACCTTCTTACTCTGCCACAAAGAAGAGGTGGGGGGAGGGGAGGTCAGCCTCTTCTCCAAAGCACCTGAGGGCAGGAGAAGAAGCAACAGATGGAAATTAATCAAGAAGAGGAGCAACCTAGAAATAAGGAGAAATTTCCTGACAGGGAAAACAATCAGTGGAACAGAAGTTGCCTCTCGAAGTTGTGGGTGCTCCATCACTGTATGTCTTAAAGAAGAGAATTGGACAGCCATTTGTTTGAAATGGGACAGGGCAGGGGTAGGCAACCTTGACTCTTTTGACTCATGGACTTCAACTCCCAGAATTCCTGAGCCTGTGGGTGGATTAGAAGACCTCTAATTGGTCCCTTCCAGCTCTGTTATTCTGTTTGTAACCTTACATTATTATTATTATTATTATTATTAATAATAATAATAATAATAGGCTCCTTGGGTGCAATTCCAAAACAACTGGAGCACCACTTGAACACCATTGGTATTGACAAATTCGCTATTAGTCAATTGCAAAAGGCGGCCTTACTAGGAACTGCTTCCATCCTGCGACGATACCTGTAACACCATCAAACATCCACATCTGCCTATCCCAGGTCCTTGGTAAGGACTCGATAGGTAAACAAAATGCCAAATCCAGTCTGAACATCTGGCTGACTGTGCGATGATCCATAACAACAACAACAACAACAACAACAATAATAATAATAAAGTTGGAAGGGACCTTGGAGGTCATCTAGTCCAACCCCCTGCTCAGACTGGAAACCCTATACCATTTCGGACAAATGGATGTCCAGTCTCTTCTTAAAAACTTCCTGTGTTGGAGCATTCACCGCTTCTGGAGGCAGGTTGTTCCACTGATTAATTGTTCTAACTGTCAGAAAATTTCTCCTTAGTTCTAGGTTGCTTCTCTCCTTGGTTAGTTTCCATCCGTTGCTTCTTGTCCTGCCTTCAGGCACCTTGGAAAATAGCTTGACTCCCTCTTCTTTGTGGCAGCCCCTGAGATATTGGAACACTGCTACCATGTCACCCCTCGTCCTTCTCTTCATTAAACTAGACATACCCAATTCCAGCAGCCATTCCTTATATGCTTTAGCCTCCAGTCCCCTGATCAACTTTGTTGCTCTTCTCTGTACTCTTTCTAAACATCTTTTTTACATCACAATGACCAAAACTGGATGCAGTATTCCAAGTGTGGCCTTACCAAGGCCTTGTAAAGTGGTATTAACATTTCATGTGATCTTGATTCTATCCCTCTCTTAACTGAGCCTTGATTGACAATAGGCACAACAGGCAGCCCTGGTCAATATTTATGGCTCATCAGATGATGATAGAGACATGGAATGCAAAATATAGAAAGTGAATTAACCAATAACATTAAATGTTTGAACTGGCATTAAAGAGCATTGTGTGTGGGGACGGGCAGGGTGTGTGTGTGTGTGTGTCATGAACCCTTTGGTATTTTGTTTTATTTTATTTAGCAAGTTAACCTGCATGCAGATGATGCTATGTTGTCAGCTGAGAATCTGGATTATTTGTACTAAATGCTAAGCCACAAGAAACCACAAGAAGGAGGGATCTGAAAGCAACAAGGGGAAACGGAGGGAAGACTTGCAATTTATACAAAAAGGGCAGAAAACCAGAGCAAGAACTGCCCCCCCCCAGTCTATAGAAATGGGAGCAAATAAGCGGAATGGATTTGTGCAGGAAGCAGGAGGTGTTTGCTGACAGAAGGATGGTGCGGGAGGGGGGGGGAAAGGAATGGGAAGGCATGGCAGGGGAAACAGGAGCTGGTAAGTTGGGGCTAGGAAGGGAGAGGGAATTGGCTGTGGGAGCAAGATTTTAGAGGGGGAGAGGGGAGAGGTTTCAAGAGTTGCAGGTGGGGGAGATAAAGTGGAAGAAGAGATCGACTGATTGCAGGGCTAGAAAGTTCTGGAGAGAGCCACTGCAGAAACTTTATGGCTGATTTATCGACCACTTCAGTTTCCACAGCTGCCCACTTGCCCAGGAGTGGCACTGAGGTAACGTCACAATGAGGAAAGAGGGATGGGCTGTTGCCGCCTCTGAATCTGTCAGAAGATGGTTAAAGCGGGAACATAAAACCGCCCCTCTTCTTGCCCCACTGGAATAGGGGGTGAGAAGATGGGGAGCCAGAGGGAGGGAACCCAGGAGAGGGCCAAGCCCCCCCCCCAAGAAATGTTGGGCAGGGACGGGCGACGCAAGGGAGGGGGCCTGAAGCTGCAAGGGCAGACCTCCAGACCCAGACAAGGTAAAGGGGGGCGAAGTAGAACAGTTTTGGCCCATCCTGGGGTTGTCCATGGTGGGGGAAGCTGCCTCCTTGGAACTGGCGGGGGCTAGGGGGGAAGTGGAAGTGGAGGGATCATGTTGTGGTAATAGGCAAGTGGGGCAGGATCACCTTGGCATGAAAAGAGAAAGTGCCAGGTTGTGAGACCTCAATTTTGGATCCTCCCCTTCTGTAGGGGGGGGGGGTGGTGCAACCAGCATCCACATGGCCATTTGGCTCGGAGGCAGCACAAAACTGTCTTGCTCCATTTGGGTCTCATTTAAGAGGCTGCAATCGTCATGGCAGACATGGGATGGATGCGCCCTTCGAGGTAGGCCAGCTCAGGAAACAGATCCCGCAAAGCCTCCGGGAAAGCTGCTTAATTACAGTGAGTGTCACAGCCACATCTTGAAAGCTGCCTCCTCCTACTCCAAGCAAGGGTGGGGAGGGGGCTATCTTGAATTTCTTCCCACCAGGAGTGAATTGCCAGTTCTCCTCCCTTAAGCCTTCCTTCCTTCCTTCCTTCCTTCCTTCCTTCCTTCCTTCCTTCCTTCCTTCCTTCCTTCCTTCCTTCCTTCCTTCCTTCCTTCTCTCCATATTCCTTTATGACGTTCCTGTTGCCCCTCAAAATTGGAAGACATTCAGGGCCCCAACCAGCACCTTGGATTACATTAAGGGACACACTAGTGATCAGGGCATCCCTGGGAGGGGTCTGGTCCAAGGCTGTTTCATAAGCATATGCCCCTTGGCTTCTGGCATCAGCCGATATCTCTGGGTGGTCAAGGGCAGCAGCCCCCCCCCCGTAGAGTGAACACTAATGATCTAGTAATGAGAGGTCAGTGACCTTCAGTGCCTCTTGTGCCAGATAAAGTTGCAAATGGACCAACACCTAGGTCCCTGGGCTGCAGCTCTCCCGCCCATGAGGGAGCACTCTTCCTGGTGACCGCTCCATCATTCCCTGGATTCTCTCCTTGTGGGCTCCACCTCTGAGCTATTTCCCGGGGGACCTCATCAGCCAGAGGACCATAATCATGCTCACAAGGTCTTCTGCTTCACCCCTTCCAAGCATGGACATCTGGCAGAGAAATAGACCATTTCACCCTTGTTATTGCCACAGAGCAGAGCACAGGTTCCATGGGTACATGCTTTCTTGGGCCACTTTGAGCAGGCTATGCTGCTCAAAGTGCCAGTGTGTCTCATCACCCACTTCATGTCATGAAGCTGCTCAGAAGACCAGGGGGCAGCCTGGGACTGGCAGGTGAGGGTTGGCCACTCAGAGCAATCCTGCCTAGTGCCCTGCCTAGCTCTGTATTCCAGAGGTTGAGGGTGTTCATCAAAGCTGTTCTCCTGGAATGCTGAGGAACTCCCTGGGCACCAACCTGGGCACATCTAGATACATCGGATGTCTGGCAGCTGAATCACTCTCCTCTCTGCGGAGGTGGTGGCTCCGCTTAATTTGCCTGGTTGTGCAGCAGCAATCTGTCCACGGCAAGAAAGGTTCCCAGCAGTCTCATCTTCTCCCAGGTAAACATGGTGCAAGTCAGGCCAACAATGGCCTGGACAAGCAAAGGCTTGTGGTGGTGGTGGCAATGGAGACCTCTGCTGTCTCAAGCCCCAGAAAGGAAGCTGACTTTGCTCTGAAGGACACAGTTCCTCATGGCCCTGGCAGGTAGGCACCACCTGCCCATAATCCACCATACTGAGGTCACCTGGGATTTGTCTGAGGCTGAGGAAACCAAGGGACTGGATAACTTCCATTTCTGGTGTGAACATCACTCCCTCTGCTTGCAATCCACGTTTGTTCTTCAGGCAGCTAAGAGAAGAGCACAGGGCTGGATTGGAGAGGGAATGGGAATGGGATCGGACCCTCTGGGGCAGGGGTAGCAACCTTGGCTCTTTTATGACTCGTGGACTTCAACCCCCAGAATTCCTGAGCCAGCTTGCTTACCCCTGCTCTGGGGGATGAGCTTTTCTGGGAATTTCTCAATCCATCATCCAGGACCACCTGCAGGGACTGGTACCAGGAAGTCCCAATTTAGAGTGGCTCAATTCTACTCATTTGCTCAGGGAAGAGCTGGTTGGCCATTGAGGTTCCTACAAGAGGTTCACATGGCTGATGCTGTGTTGATTTGCTTGGTTCCTGTTGTTTGAAATCCTCATTTTGCCTAGGAATCAGGGGTTCTTTTATGACTCGTGGACTTCAACTCCCAGAATTCCTGAGCCAGCCATGCTGAGGGGAAAGGGAGAGGTTTCCAAGCTGAGCCATGCTGGCTCAGGAATTCTGGGAGTTGAAGTCCACGAGTCATAAAAGAGCCAAGGTTGCCTACCCCTGGCCTAGGTTGTCCACTGCCTCAGAGGCCAAACAGTTAAATAAAAAAATAGTATAAAATAAAGACATAAAAATGAAGGCAAGAGCCCCCTTGCCAGGACTTGGAGGACCACACATCTGGCCCTCCAGCATGGAACCACCATGATTTCCCGCCAGCACACCTGGAGAAGTGAGTTCCACAGGTGAACAAACACCTGCTCAACTCCTGGAGTCGCCATATGCAGAAGCAGCTTTGCTCTGCCTCCAACATTTAGGAAAAACAGCTGGAACGCCACCTGCTCGGCCGCTCCATTAACAAGGCAGCAGCTTGGCAGATGTTGCGTCCTTATGGACAGGATGTCCGGTAAACGCGGAGACTTTCCGAAAGGGCTGGATCCTTACTCGGACAAGCCGTTTTCCGGCTCGTCCGCGGATGAGGGCGGCTCTCCAGATGCGATGGACTCCGGTCCCAACATCTGGAGGGCGCCGCGGCCAGAAGTCCTCCACTTCCGCGATTCAGGCCGGGGCGCTGCGTCCAAGCGGCCGGGCGGGCCGGGGCTGGGCAGGAGGCAGGGGCAAGGTCGGATTCCTCGCCGGCTGCAGCCTCCCTGGGCCTCGGATGAGCTCGGCCACGGCCCAACGATGGGTCGCCGGCGGACAGGCGCGGACCGCGGAGAGGGGCCGGCCAGAGGCGGGCGAAGGCTGAGCCGGAGCCGCGCCTCCCGGCCGCCCCCGGGACGCCGAGCGCAGCCAGACGCCGCCGCGCTCGGCTCCAGCCGCGGCAACCGAGGAGTTAAGACTCGCTCCGCCCGCCGCGGCTCCGCCTCCGACGGGCGGCCGCTAGCGGGCCGCAGAGCAGCCGAGCTCTCCGGAGGCCGAAGCCCACGGCGTCCGGGGGCGCAGCGCAGCCGCCCCCCGCGCAGCTCCCCGTGCGCCCCCGCGCATGGCCTTGGGGCGCTCCGGGCATGGAGCGGGAGAAGCTGCCGCGGCGGCCCGGACTCTCCCTGCGGCTGGACGAGGCCGAGGGGGAGGTGCCGGGCCCGGGGGGCTGGCAGGCGGGCGGGCGGCTGCGGCCTTCCTCCTACCGGGCGCTGCGCAGCGCCGTCTCCACTCTGGCGCGCCTGGACGACTTCTACTGCGAGAAGATCGGCGCCGGCTTCTTCTCCGAGGTCTTCAAGGTGAGCGCGCCGGACCCGCCGGACCCCCGCCCGCCCCGCCCCGCCAGAGCCTGGCAGCCCCTCCGCCCGTTGCCCTCCCGCCCGGGCGAGTGAGAGGCTGGGTGGGCGGAGGTGGGCAGCCGCCGAGACGGGAGAGCGCGGCTGGGAGGGGCGGACAGGCCTGGCCTGCCCCGCGCGGGGAAGAGCAGTTCTCCCCCCGCTGCCGCTCTGCCGCCCCCTCCCCGGAGGCGAAAGGGAGGCTCGGCTCTGTTTACTCTCGGCTCTGTGAGGCTCTGGGTCCGGGGGGGCGTGGGCTCGAAGGGGGCCGGGCCGGATTTGGCAGCCGAGAGACGGAGGAGCTACGGGGGAAGCGTCAAAGTCCGGCGGTTTCGTTCACTCGGTCCCCCCGCGCTTGGACTGGGTCCCCTCTCAGCCGCGGCTGCTTCCTCTGGATCGCTGCGGGCTCTGCCTCGGGCTGACAGCCGGGGTCCCTCGTGGCCCCGCAAGGGCCCCGCAGCCTCCAGCCTTGGCTGAAGCCCCAGTTTGCGCTGCAGGTCAAGTGGCCGCGGGGGAGGGGGGGGAAACCCGTCCCGTCCTGGAGGCCGACTCCGATCTGGCTAGGGGGGGGGAAGTGGCCGAGAAGGCTCGTTCCTGGCCCAGGCAGCCAGGTGTTTCCACTGGATTTGGCATTTTTATCCAGCTATGGAGGACTTCGTTGTTATTCCTGATGAATGGGCAGGGCTGCGACTCTTCCAGCCACTCTACCTTGGGATGCTTGACAGGTTCTGTGGCTCTGGTGCCCCGCTGCTCTCCTGCTCCCCCAGGGAGGGGCATCTTGGAAGGGGCTTGGAGGCAAATTCCGAGGTCACCAAAGGTGACAAATGGCTGTCATGCTCCCCTTAAGGCAAGGAGTCCTAAACTTGGGCCACCTGACAGGAAACTGCTCTCCCATGTCCTGCCCAGAACCTCTGTGCCCCCCTCCCCCTGCAGAAGGGGGCTGGATTCTGACACAGTTGTTTGCCTGTTCTGTTGCTCAGCCTGGAACAGATGGCCTCAGTGTCAGCTTATGCTTACTGTTGATATAAACCTGTGCCCCTCTGGCCCTTTGCCAGCTGCCGGTCCTCTGTCCACGTGCAGAGTTAACAAGAGGGGTCTGCAGCCCAAGACAGCTGCTTAGCATCTTGGCAGAGATGAAGCCTTGGCTTGCCAACCAGCAGCGGCCAAATGATCTCCTGTGGTCAGCCAGCCAAAGACCCCTTGCTTTGAACAGGTTCCCTGGACAGGACCTGCCATGTTCCAGGATGGGGGTCAGCTGACAGCCCTGGTTTGGAAGGTTGCCCTGTATGGACACAGCCATGCTTGGTGGCACGGATGACCCCAGTGGCCGGACCAGTTGCCAGCTGCAAGAGGCACAGAAAGGCCTGTGAACATGGCAGAGTCTGTGGTGACAGGAGTGGGGGGCTTTCCCTTAGATTGATTGAGCTGGAGGGAGCTGAGGGTCCAGGTCCTCTTTGCTGCTGGAGGTGGGGCAGGGGTCCCGGGACAGCATATGGCTCAGCCAGTTGGAAAGCTCTGATCTCCAGGCAGCCTCTTTTGGGCTGATGCACGGAGAGGCCTTGGCTGGCCAGCCCTTCCATCTGTCATGGGAGGGGAGCCGGTCCAGCTCTGCTCTGGAGGGGTCATCCCCCAACTCAGCCAAAGGCAGGAGGGAGGCCAAGGCTGGCCAAGGCTGGCTGTGACGGGGAGGGGGATCTGTGGAGAAGGGAAGGGCCTCTTTGGCCAGGCAGAGGAAGCTGATGTGGGACCAGGAGGCTTTGGCAGAGGAGGCGCCAGTCCACTTTGGGCACTTGGGGGGGGGGGGTCTTGTCCAAAGAGTCATTTTTCTCTGGACTCTTTGGTTCACCTTGATTCTCTGGCTTTCCTGGAGAGAAGCGCCTCCTGCTGGCTGCAGGGAGAAGTGCTTCCAAAGGGTCTGGATGGTCTCAAGGCGGTGTGCCCCTCTGGTGGGCACACTCCAGCTCCCCTGGATTCAGTGGGGTCCTCTGCTGGGACCAGGAAGTGAGCCTTCTCTGACCATCTGTTTCTAGCTTTCCCCAGGCTTTGTGTGTATGTGGGGGGGGGAGGGGCCCTCTTTCAGGATGTCTTATATCCGTGTTTCTTCAGAACTGTGTGCTGCTCTTTTCCATAACTTTGGCTTCTGCTCTTGTTAGCATTGTGAGCCACCCAAAGGCTTAGCTTTGGCCAGGCTCTACACTGAGTAGATGTGGTGACAACCCTGGGTGGAGGAGGGGGCTGTTAGCCCGGCCAGCGGTGAGCAATGCAGGGAGGGTGGGGGTTCAGCAGCAGGGAGGGTGGGGGTTCAGCAGCAGCGATGGGGTGTGCGTGTGTTCCATCTCCCTCTGGAATGAGCCTTTCCAAGTCCTCCTCCAGCCTGGATCTGGGGGGCTCTTCAGAGCTGCTGCTTTTATGGAGGGAGGGGGCTTTGAGGGGTCCCCGTTGTTCTTCTCTGGGGCCAGTCTCATTTGGGCAGCTCCTCCTGCTGCTGGGCTGGCACCCAGATGGGGAGGTCAGTTTGGCTGCTCTGCCAGGTCCTCCCTGGGTCTCCTCCCTTGCAAGGTCCCTGTTGACCCCTTTCCCTGGCCCGGCTGGCTGCTGTTGCTGCCTTGCAGCCCACCCTGCTGGGTCATGGGCCACCAGAGCCCGCCAGCCGGGGATGATTGACCAAGTGGCCACTGCTGAATTCAGAGAGGCTGGGCTGATGGGCCTTGGAGTCCGGCAGCCTTTGTTGCTCTCAGCAGGCCCAGTGCTTGCGGCTTGGCTTGTTCTTTTGAGGCAGCCACCTTGAGTTCACACAACTCACACTCATCCGTCAAGGCCTAGTGGCTGCATTGCTCCAGGTGCTGAACTTGGTTGGTGATGGCCCTGATTAGTTTTTCCATTGGCCTTAATACCCCTTGCTTAGCGTGCTGTGAGATGCCAGTTTTTTCGGTTAGTTTCTAGTTTAGGGCAACGCAAACCAGAAGCTGGGTTAACGCTCAGGAACCAAGTTGGGTGATGTTGTATGAACTCCGTCCTGGGAGCTGTGCCAGGCTCCCAGGCCAGCCTGAAACTTGGAAATGCCGTGCTGCCATCTAGCAGTTGCTGGAGTTTGGCAACCTCTGGTGCTCGTCCGAGGCTGCGACCTGCGTGGCATGAGGAGCATGGCTGCCCCGCTCTGGCTCCCAATGGGGGCCTCGGGGCTGAACCCCTGCAGCATCAGCTGGGGAAAAGGCTTTCCTTGGGGAGGGGGAGGTTATCTGTCAGGACAGTTTGCTCCAGGGAGGGGCCGTGCCTTCAGTTTGGAAGGGTTACAGCCTCTTGGCAGGAAATCCTGTCCTGCAATCTTGGGAGGGGGTGTCTCCCTTGGGAAGTATTGGGGTTATCAGGTCAGGTGCTGAGGCTGTGCCAGACCCTCAAGGGTGCCAGACCCTCAAGAGTAGCAAAGGGGGGGGGAGCTGTCCCAAAGACTTAGCTTAGGATCCTGGCTCTGCCTTCAGCTTGTCCTGGCCCAGTCTGTTCTGTGTGTGTGTGTGTGTGTGTGTGTGTGTGTGTGTGTGTGTGTGTGTTGTGAGCAGGCTGAGAGTGAAGGCAAGCAGGGAGAGGCCTGGCCTGGCGCCTCAGACTGACTCATGGACGGGCTGGCATGGGAGCAGCTGTGCTCCCTGGGATCCGGGCGGCGGTGGGGACAGGGGGCCTGGAGGGAGGGCCGGCTGCCCTTGGGGACGGAGGGGTTCTGTGGGGGGGGGGTGAATGCCATGGCTGCGCTTCAGCTGGCTGCCTTGGAGGTAGGCGAGTGGCTCTTATGGAGCTCAGCTCTAAGAATGTGCTGGGATTCTAGGCCGGCTGCCAGGGTGGGCATGGCACACGGGCATGGGTGGGTGGCCGGGAGGGGCTGCTTTCCTCTCTGGCTCAGCCAGGAAGCCGGGTGTGCCCGGAGTGAGTGCTCCCTTGCAAGGCTGGCAGAGGCCTGGGGTTGCCTGTGGACTGAAGGCAGTGGGGGGAGGGGAGGCATCCTATCCCCCCTGACGTTCTTCAGCCTGCCTTCCAGGTGCATTGGCAGAGATCCTTGATTGCCCAGATACTGCCCTGCCTGACTTTTTCAGCGGCCACTTTAGTACTCCCTTCGCCAGCCCTGTCTGTGAAGTGGTGAGGCTGTGCCAAAGCAATTGGCCCCCAGCCTCGGGGTCTCTGTGCTGGGAGGGGAGGTGGGCTGGATCTCTGCCGTGCCTCCAGCTCCTGAGGTTGGCTAGCACAAGGCTGGCACTGGTGCTCTGGACTGCCTGGCTGGGGCTTTGCCTTCTGGGAAGCTTGAGCAGTGGCTGGTGTGGGAGGGGCTTGGCAGGGGACAGAGTGCCTCCTGGGGGTGGGGCTTCTCAGGCTTTGGGCAGACAGAGCTGAGTCAGAGCCCATCTCTGCCCTCTCCGTCCCTGCGTGGACAAGTGGGGGTCGCCTTGCCCCTTGTTGGGCCTGTGGCCTGGGTGGAAGGGGGTTCGCCTGGAACAGTGGAGGGGCCTGAGGCTGGCAGAGGGGCCCTGTGGGGCTTTGGGGCTGGGGCCACTCCTGGCCTGCCCCTTCCTTGGGCAGCTCCTCTCCCAGCCACTTTCCATCCTCAAGCACACAACATCTGAACAGACCAAATAGGCTGGATTCTCTCCACGTAGCTGTTTCATCCATGCCAAGCTGAACATAGTGTGAAGGCTGTTGTGTGAATGTGCCTGGGTAAAGATGAGGAGATTTGGAGGCTTTGAACAGGGTAGTGGGTGTATGTGAAGGAGAAGGAGGAGGAGAAGGAGGAGAAGGAGGAGAAGGAGGAGGAGGAGGAGGAGGAGGAGGCGGCCAGGGACAGCTCTTAGAAGTGGGGTGATGCTCTGGTGTGTCCAGAGGTCCAAGCCCCATTATCTTCCTGGGACTGGTTCTGTCCTGGCACTCTCTGGCATCTCTGGGGTCCTGCAGCACTGCCAGTGCTGGGCCAGGGGCTCAGT